TGGAATCTTGACTATTATATGCCTTGGTGTAGTTTTTAAAATCTGATCATGGCTAATTGGAGTTCTATATGCCTCACTTTTCTGTATGTCAAATTCTTTTTTCATGGTTGGGAAGTTTTCTGCTATTATGTGAACAGGTTTTTTATGTGCTTTATACTATCAATTTTTTCTTTGATTCCTGTCAGTCTTATGTTGTTATATGCATCATCTAGCAGCTGCCAGATTGATTTTTCATGGTCCCTTGCTATTTTTAATGTCTTTCATTTGATGATCACTAACCTCAAACCTGTCTTCTAGATGATATTCTGTCCTCACATTGGTTGATTCTACTGCATATACTTTCAGCAGAATTTTTAATTTCCTGGGTATCTGTGTGAATCTGTTTATGGAATTTAGTTCTCTCCTATGTTGGACATTTATAGTTTCCATCACTTTTCTAAGTTCTTCTATTTTTTTTTTTTTTTTTCATCTGTATCTACTCTTGATTCACTAACCGTGTCCTCCATTATGGTCATCATCTCTTAGTTACCCTAAAATTATTTGATTTTTTTCTGCTAAGGCCTTATTGCTTTCTTTTCCTGTTACCATTTCATAAAGTTTAGCTAGGTGGCTTTTGACTTCTTACACCTCAATGATCCCTGGATTTGTCTTGGGTAAATCAGAGGTCTGGGGCTGCATCTTGCTTCCATGTCTTTACATTTTCTATTTCTGAAATTTGTTTTCTGTGCAGTGCTTATAAATTACTTATGGTAGGTAGTATTGTTGCTAGTATGGAGACCTCCTTGGAAATGACTACTTTTCAAAGCTAGGCTTTTGTCTTTTGGGTCTGTCCTAAGATCTTGCCTTTTTAATTTATTAGGGATGAGAAGTTGCTGCCTATTTGGCCTAGGACCCAGTTCTTTGGTGCTGACCTATGGTATCATGAATAAATCAATCAGACAATCTTAGTATTGGTAAAGAAGGAAGAACAACAGATCACAACTGTGTCACTTTGGCTAAAGTTGTACAATCAATAATAACAGCATCATGTATAGTCTAGTAAATGACAAACTGTGGTAACTGTTAATTTGCTATCTTAAACCATGGATACAAGATTTTATAGTTATATAACAAAATCTAAAATCAGAAAACTATGTACAGTACGTATCCCCTCAACAGAATGATTTTACCCTCAGGGGAGAAAGTATAAAGGGGTTTAGAGGAAAAAAATAGAGAAAAGAAGCAAAACACATTAGAAGCAAGGCTGAAGGACAAAAGAAGATTACTCGAGCTTTGGGACACTCGTGAAGAAAGCAGGAGGGAAAGAAGGAAAAGACAAAAACAAGGTCTAAACAAAACTAAAAAAACTAAAGTTCACACTCATGAAAAAACAACTAAAAATAAAAAAAAAATCTGTATTTCAAGCTTATGGTTATCTTCTGGGTCTACAGTTTTGTGTTAGTTTCCAGTTCAGAACATGTTTTCACTGTCCCTGGTAGCTAAAGGAGTAAAAGCCCAGAGCCCAGATCCATTACTGATGTTCCCAGCAGGCCTGCAGTAGAATTAGAGTGGGGTACTAGCTAATCCCAGCAAACCTCCAGTAGAAATAGGGTGGGATGAAGACTTTGGTGCTTTCAGCTCCACAGAATTTCAGGCTGATCCTTGCCTCTGGTTGTTGGGACCAGACTTGTTCAGCCTGGAACAGTCTGGGTGCCTCTTTCCAGCCTGACCTTGGCTCCATGACCCTGGATGTCTCCCCCAGTGGTGCTTTACCCAGTCACTGGGAGCCCTGAGAGGAAGCCAATGCATGGCTGCTCTGAATCCGGGTTCATCTCCCCCTCCCTAAAATGGCATGGGCCAATCTCCCTCTCCAGGGGATGCTTGGACTGGAGACACCAACTGTTAAGAGTTCACAGCATCCACTGCTCCTTTCCACTGGTGCGTTTCTCTGTGGAGGCCTCCAGGGTCCAACTTCACTGTGTCTCTAGATTTAAGCCACCTCTCTCACACAAGCTGGGAGTGAGGGAGAAAGCAGAGCTCGCCACCTCCTTTTCTGCACTGAGGTCTGTCTCTTCATTTCCCCTGTGGGCTCTAATTCTTTCTTCAGGTCCTTCTTGGGTCCTGAGGATCCACCTCCCTCCTCTTTTTCCTCCCCAGATTGTTATATCCCAGTATCTGGATTCTGAATCACAGAGAGGCTGACCCACTGCTGCTTACCATTCTAGCATCTTCTTGATGAGTCCATATCGAGTTTTAAAAGTTCTTTATATATTTTGGATAACAATACTTTATCAAGTATTTTTATAACAGTTTCTTCCAGTCTGTGGCTTGGTTTGGCTTTTTCTTGACAATGTATTATGAGGAACAGGTTTTTTTTTTTTTTTTTTTTTTAAATCAAAGCCATTGTCATATATAGGTTTTCTCCTGTGTTACCTTTTAGCAGTGTTATAGCTTTTTGTGTTATGTCTATGAACCATTTTAATTTTTTGAAGGCTGTAATGTATGTCTAGCCTTTCCTTTAATGTGATGTTATTTCCACTCACTTTGCTGGAAAAACTGTTTTCTCCCCTGTATTTCCTTGGGCAAATCCATTTACTCTATGGGTGTGATCTGGGTTCTGAGAACTGAACTCTGGATTTATTTTTGTGGTACTAGGGATTGAACTTGGGCATTTAACCCTGAGCTTTCCCAGACCTTTCAAATTTTTTTTTCTCCTTTGGAAGAAAGGGTCTGCTTAGTCAGTAAATTGTTGATTCTGGGTTTGAATTTGGTAATCCTCCTGCCTCAGCTTCTCAGAGTGCTGGTATTACAGGCATGTGTCGCTGTCCTGCCTGAATCTTATTTTTAAACTAATCAGCTCTGCTTTTTACATTGGAATATTTAATCCATTTTAAAACAATTTTTATATGAATGTTGGTCATCTTAACTGTCCCATATTTTTCTTTCTTCCTGTATTTCTCCTTTCCTGTCTTCTGAGTTAAATGTATCAAATCTTCATTGTTTTCAAGTCATGCCTGCATTATCCTTTTAGTGGTTGCTCTGTTCAATTTTTTAAATTGCTCAGATTTTAAAATTAGATAAATACATGGGTTTATGTTCAAAATTCACTCATCCTTTCTTTTGGAATATCAGTTAGCCCACGGAATGAACTTTTTATTATTGTTGTTTTTTTGACATAGGGTTTCTGTATGTAGTTCAGGGTGGCCTTGAACTCGAGATCTTCCTGCCTCAGCCTACTAAATGCTGGGATTACAGACATGAACCATAATGCCCAGCTAGAATGAACTATTTTGTTCTTGAGTCTCTGCCTTAAAATTTTGATTTTTCCATTTGTTCATTCTTCATGATCATTTTCCCAGGTGCCCTTGAATATATTTAACTAAAGTTCTGTTACTTATCAAATGCTAAGTCACTTTGGGTCCATTTGTAATGGCTATCTTTTTTCTTGATTGTGGTCCATTCTCCTCCTCCTCTGCATGACTAGTAATGGTTTTACTGTGTGAAACACACTGAATATACCTTGTATAAAGTCTAGATTATGTCATCTTCATCTTACAGAGTTCTAGTCTTAGAGTGGGACTATTTGAATCTAATCCAACATGACCTCTGACTAGTTAACTGCCTGTTTTTGTAAATGAAGTAGCCACTTATTTATATATTGTTTGTGGGTACTTTGTGCTGTAACAGCAGAAATGAATAGTTGTGACATACACTGTACATGCCTGTGTTCGCTCAGGCTGCTATAACAAAATGCCATAGACTGGGAAGTTATAAGCAACAGAAATGTATTTCTCATAGTTCTAGAGGCTGGAAGTGTAGTCAAGATACCAGCAGAGTCAAGTGTCTGTTGAGGGCTCACTTCTAGTTGATAGCACCTTCTTGCTGTGTTCTCACGTGGCAGTGAGGGCAAGGGAGCTCTCTGAGGTCTGCAGTTCTTGGTCGCAGAGCAGGAAGTCTTTTGCTAGGTCTTAGTGGTCCTTATTGTGCACGTCAGCATCCTAGTCCTTACCTTTGGTGAGTCCTTAGGCAAATTTATGTCCGCTTCCTCTGGCTTTTTTCTTGAATTCTGTCTTCTAAATTCCAGTTATTTAGTAGCCCAAACCTCTGGTGGTGCTTAACAGACTTTCCACCCATCTTGGGCCCAATCTGTGATAATGCTGGAAGATGCCAACCAAAATCCCAGGATGCTCAACTGTGTGTGATTTAACATCCTGATTCCCCCAGGGATCACAACAGTGGGCTGCTGGTGCCTGAAAAGACCTGCTCCCATGCGTTCTGTCCAGGTTTAAATGTTTTGAGAGAGAGGGCAAATATGGCACCAGTTACTTTGTACTAATAAGAAAACGCTGCTTATGCAAAACCGAAGACCCTAGATAACACAGGCTATCCTGAGGGTTCTCCTCACAGCCTTTTATTTATGATACTCATAAAGTGGTACTTTGCATGTTAGCTGGGCCCAGTTCCCTTAATCATCCCTCACAGCACAAAGTGACACACAGGGAAGTCATGGGCTCAGGCTGCAGAGCTGAGACAGTGCCCATCGTCAGGCAGCTTTGCTGTAGGAATAAATTTGCTGTTTCTCTTGACAGTGCAGAGCAGGGTCGGCAAACCTTTTGTATAAAGGGCCACACAGAAGATAGAGTTTGTAGGCCACAGTCTGTCACAGCTATCCCATTCTACTACTGTAGTATCAAAGCCACTCTTGACCATAGATAAAAAGTGACCATGACTGTGTTCTCATGTGTATGTAAACAGGCAGCAGGGATTTGGCCAAGAGCTGTTGTTCCCTGGTACAGATAAACCTAGAGAGCAAAAGCTTAAGAGCTTGAAAGAATGTTTTCCTGTTGTTTAAAGTGCTGTTTTCACTGCATGGTTCTCCTCACTGACAAAGCTGATTGTGTTCTCTCACGTTTCCTCCAAGTGACCAAAGTGGTAAAGAGAACAGTGTGCGTCCGTGTCACTGACTGCTACATTCTTCTTCATTCTGTGATGTCAACGTGCAAACTCCCTTCTCTTGACAGGCACACACCGATGAAGAACGAAGGGGACGCTGGCCACTGACTTGCTGCAGAGGGCGCGCCAGCAGCACCGTGCGGCTGGACCTGCATCGCTTCCCGCTGATGCTGCTGCTCTCCTCTGCTCAGCGCTCCTGCTAACATGGGCTGCATGAAATCAAAGCAGACGTTCCCGTTTCCTACCAACTTTGGGACTGAGAGGCAAGGTGGGAGTGAAGAAAGCTTTATGCGAGAAGAGAGGCTACGTAGGTTGTCTTCTCCACGTAAAGCCCAAGGGGACATGAAGGCACCCCCAGGGGTCAGCACTGCAGTCACGGAGTATGCAGACCGCCTATCCCGGGAGATCCTGCACGACGCCTTGCAGCAGTGGGCGTGCAACCACATCAAGTACTGCGACATCCCCTACATTGAGAGTGAGGGCCCGTGACCCTGCGGGATGTGGCACTTTGCTGAACTGTGGATAGACTTGGTGCTAGTATAAATACATGAGCCAAAAGCAAAACTGTGTAAGTGCGCGTAAAAATGTGTGTGATCACGTCACTAGCGCAGGAATACCTCGGGTGAGGTGTTTTGCGAGCAGCTCTTGTCAGCGGCCATTTGGAGCTGCTTGCTTGTGGATTCTGGTCATGGAAAGGCTGAATGGGAACCTGTAGCACCAGTAATCAGGGGTAGGTCACACCACTTTCATCCCACACAGTAATGGCATCACCAAAGAAAGCAATGAGGAATAAAAAGCCACAAGTTCCAAAAATTAACAGAAAGTTAATTTCTGTTAATGTGTATCAAAAACACTCCCAGACAGGATAACTGGCAAGAGAAAGGGACTCACATCACCGTAATCTGCAATGGGTCTTGTTTGCCAAAACCATCTGTACCAAGGATTCTGCAGGGTGAGAAAGCCGGTGGGGTCCATGCCAGAAGAGGGTCCAACTTGAACCTCAGCGCCCTAATAAGCCACCCTGTTAATGGATGATTTTGTGTATATAGTCAAACCTTGGATTGTGAGTAACTTTGGTCTGTGAGTGTTCTGAAAGACGAGCAAACATTTCTAAGGACTTTTAATTTGATAACGTGTTGCACTATGAATAGTACCTTATGGGGACTGTCACATGATCACAACTGATTCTCCCTGCTTTGATATACAAGCGCTTTGGATTAGGAGCAGAATGAATTCTTGCAAACCAAGGTTTTACTGTACAACCACCTTAAAAAGAAAAATTTATAGAGCTCTGACATTACTGTTTATTGCATTCAATTCAGAAACCATGAACTTAAAAGCCTCTTACAAAAGAAATTCAGTAAATCTTAAAAGTAGCAGAAGCCTAGCCTGCAAGGTAGAAAGCAGAAGCTAGTATTACTGGGAGCTGGAAATGATACTTCCCTGGCTCAGAGATGCCACTTGTCTCAGATTGTTTCCCGTGGGGCAGCCTCCACTCACTTCACAGGCAAGGGTTCCAGGTGTGTCACACAAGGCAGGACGCCGCTTCAAGGGGAATCTGTGTGTTGCTTTTAGGGTACAAATGCCCACAGGGCATTTTTTGCCATATACTATATTCTCATAAAGTTTTAAAAACTGTCATAGCACACTTTTAAAAAAATGAAGTATTTGAAGATCAAAGACAAAATTTAGGAGGGAAGGAAAATAATTGAGAAGATGAGACAGGATTAAGTCTCCAGGTTAGTCATCCTTTTTTTCTGTTGTTTTTTTTCTGGTACCGAGAATCGAACTCATGACCTTGTGCTTGCCAGGCAGGTGCTGTGCTGCTGAGCTAAATCCCCAGCCCCAGTTAGTCATCCTTTTCAAGATTTGCTGCACATTGACCTTGACTGGAAACTAAGCCTATATGTGTTAGGTCCTTTTATTAAGATATAATGATCCACCAGTGTCACTGAAATCTTACGGTAGAGAAAGGCTTCTGGCCTTGGAAGCAACAGAAAAACTATTTCTACTCTTACAATACTTTGAAGCCCACAGTGAAGTGAGTGACATGGGGCACCGTTCAGTTGCTTTTGGACACCGGATCCTGCAGCTTTAATTTCGCCTTGCCCTGCAATTTACACTGCTCTGCTGTATTTGAAACCTGTATAACAGGAGACCCCGTCCTGCTCAGGTGAGGATCTGCAGTCATCAGGCTAAGGCCAGAAAGTTTCCTGAAGCACAAAACATTTACAGCCTGTGAGGTGTTTATTTGAATGACTTGGACAAAAAGCCTAGATTTTTTCACTCATTTTATATCTCACATGAGCACAATTTCGCTGCAAGGTCATTTGCCACTTAAAAGATAGTTAAGTATATAAAATAATACATACTCCAGGGAGAACATGAAGCCATAAAGCAGCATGTCACAAATTGTTTTAGATTTGACAGAAATACGATTAAGGGGTTCTGGTTCCATCGGAGGAGTTTAGAGCACGTGTGCCCTGTGGCCCCCGTGTCCCAGAGGTGGAACAGGAACGCCTGGCAGGTCCACACCTAGGAGTCTCATCTCTGTCACTCTCTTGACAACGCTAGGAGTTCCTTCACCAAGCAGCAGCCCTGAACAAGGAACCACAAGGCTTGCATGATTGGTGAGTCAATGGGTAAAGCTCATGGGAGAAGAGTAAGTAAAACTAACACTGCACGTGACAGTTATGGGGGTACTATCTGGCCTCACTGGCAGTGAGAACACCTTTGATAATCAGCCTTCTTTCATGAAAAATAGGAGTGAAAGAAGCGCAATAACATGGTTCTTGCAAGAGCCACTGACACTGGGAAGGGAAATTGGTGCGTCTCCCGGCACAAGCAGCTCAGGTAGAGCTGGGGAACAGCCAAGCGGGGGATAAACAGCTTCTCCTCACGTCTGGAGACCCCGACAGCCCCACCAGCGAGCCTCCCCTCTGCTGCCCCAAGCGGCGGCCCCTCCCACGCTTCAACCGTTCAGGTCCGTGCCTCTGGCCCTATGAGCCTCCACTTTTAGTTGCCTTACAGGTTTGCAAACCACCTCTGGCTAGTAGCACAATTTTGAAGGAGACAAGAATGATTATTATCATTTTAGTCCCAAAGAAATACCTTATGTCAAACTGCCTTAGTATAAAAAATCAGCACTGAACTAGCATCCTCCTCAGTACTATTGCCACTTCATGAGACGAGGTGGAAGTATGTTATTGTATTACCAAACTTCAGGGCTCAAATGTTAGACATTGTAAGTAATGTCAGAAAGCAGTAATTTAGAAACAAAGTTCTAACAAATACATGCTTTCATCAAGATGCCCTCCCCTGCCTTTAAATGACTAAATAAGCCATGTGCACACTTCAGGAGTGTCACCTACATCTTTGTGTCCAAAACTCAACCTCTGTCGGCAAATCCCCTTTCCATAACTGCTATGGAGTGGAATATTTTTCCAAATATTTTTGTGAAAACATTTTTGTAAATATAAATTCCAGTTGCAATTAGCTATGAGTTATTTACTTGAAGCAAATTCTTTTCAGCATTGTATAATTTCAAATTTTTAACATAAAAGACTTACCATTTTCTGTACTGCTGTAAATGTAAAGTGAATCAACATCCATTTGTGTAATTTTTAAAATTATTTAGGTCTAATTTTAGAGTTTTAAAATTCTAAATGTAAACACGTCTGATTTCATAGCATCTTCATTCCAAATTTGTTGCTCAGTTTTCTGGAAGAAAATGTAAGCAGTACCTCCTGGGCCGCAACCTCTGCGTCCCTGAGGAGGATGCAGGCCTCTGCTGGCCTTTCATTCCTGCTGGCTTTTCATTCCTACACAAAGTTCTCGGTTTCTGAGGGTTGGGATGGAGGTATTATAACATCTTACAGATAAACAAGGAGCTGACCTTTGACATAAAAGTTATTCTCACCTAGAACTTTAAGATCCTTAGCCCGAACAACCTGCAGTTTCCAGCACAACTTACAAAACACCTGCCAGCAGTACCAATTACTGAAGGTATCTTAAACTGTTGTCATTGTTATTATTATTATTATTATTATTTGGTACTGGGAATCAAATCAGGACCTCATCCTTGCCAGGGAGGCACTGTACCACTGAGCTATATCCCTGGCCCATAAACTATTTTTAAATAAAAGTTTAAATTACAAAAAGCAGAGGGTGTCTTAGAGCCTGGAGTTTGTTAATGCCCCACTAGCAGCAAATACGCAAGTAACAGGGAATGATGCTTTTCTTCCCGACACGAGAAGGCGCTCTGGTTACCTCAGGGACGGCGAGGTGGAGGCAGTGGGCGGGAGACCACCTCATACACACATCTTGTCTTTGCCCATGAGTTCCCATGTTCATAAAAGGAACTCATCTGCTAAAATAACTGTTCCTTAAAATACACTCAAAGAAGAAATGTCCGTGAGCACTTATATAGCATCCTCCCCCCAAATTTAAGATCTTTTTTTAAATCTATACCTAGGTTTGTTTTACTAACATCTGAATCATTACTGCAAGCTAAATACAAGGTTCCCACTTCAATTAGAGGTAGCTATTTAATCTCTAGAGACATTTGGATTTTCCCTTTTTTTGAGACAGGGTCTCACTAGGTAGTTCAGGCTGGCCTAGAACTCTCAACAATCCTCCTGCCTCAGCCTCTCGAGTGCTGGGATTACAGGTGTGCACCACCACGCTGGCCTGTCTTCTAAAGTAGGGTTTGGCAAATTTCTTCTGATGAGGCTCAGACAGTAAGGATTTCAGGCTTTGTAGATGATACGCATCCTGCTGCCAATACTCAAAGCAGTCACTGATAACACAAAAGCAGATGGTGCAGCTATGTTTCCATAAAGATTAATTTATGGACACTGATATTTCAGTTATTACAATGTTCACAAGTCATGAAGTATTAATCTTGATTTCTTTCCCAACCATTTAAAAATAGAAAACCTATCCTAGTTTGCAGGCTAGATAAAAACAGACAGCAGGCCAGGTTTGGCCCATGTGTTATACTTTGCCAACCCTTGCTCCAAAATGTGTGCAGTACTTTGAAAGAACAGTCACCTCAGAGTATCAAATCACTGCTTCCCAGTGGTTTAAAATAGTTATCCAACGCTTCATCAGTCATTTCTTTTAGATTAGCCGGTTTCCACCTTGGACTCTGGTCTTTATCAATTAAAACTGTCAAAAAGAAGATACAGCTGTCAGAAGATGCAGATATTGGGACATTTCTTCTGGTACTATCAGATTTTAATTACTGAACTAACAGAAACTGTCTGGTACAGGTGTATTTTTCTATAGCACATCTTTCTTGCAGAGTTTACATTTTGTATACGTTCTATTTTTCTTCCAAATTCAATCCTCAGAGAATCTAAACAGATAATATACTTTGGTTATCCAGAGTAGGTGTTTCTCCTCTCTAACCTTCATGCCTTCAGCTTTAGAGAAGCCTGCTGAATTAATCCAGCAGTTTAATTCTTTTTTCCTGCTTCAGATAAAGCTTTAAATAAAATCTCCATGCTGCAAAACAGCTGACACCAGTGTTTGTGTGGCTTAAAGGGAAGGAACAGGGTCCAGCTCTGCAACCTCCTCCACATTTGGTTTGGGAGGAGAACTAAGCATGTAAGGTGGAGGGGAGACTTCAGCCTCTGTTAAGTGTGGAGACTGCTGTTCTGCGAATCCTCGAGTTCAGAGAGCTCCAAATTTAAAAATCAGACCTCAGTCAGGTTACCCTGAAACCTTCTACTTCTCCTATTTCAATGTGGTCATCACTTAGTGTACCACATAATATCCCCACAGGACCGAGAGCATGAAGCAATCTATTACCACTTCTTCAAAACTAAAAAGAGTACTCTGATTTCATGGTTGGGACGGTACACTACCGTGACACAAATGCTATTGGGGAAACTGGGCGGATCTCAATATTCTCTCACACAACTGTGTGAATCCACAATTATCTTTGAAAAGTACAGCGGTGGTAGCAAATCTCAACCATGCTAGAGTGTGCAGAAGTCCAGTGAAGACTGGGAACATTCAAATACACAAATTACTGAGAACTGGAAACACCCAGTTGAACTGTTAAAAGGCCAAACAGTTAAGCCTGCGTGCAGGTGAAGGGAAGAAAGCTTTATACATAATTAAATGTGGATACTGGAGGGTGCTTTTTATTTCTTGATGGGGTCTACATTGCTCAGGCTGATCTCAAACTTGTAGGTTCAGAAGGTCTCCCTGCCTCATCCTCTCCAGTAGGTGGGACTACAGGTAAACAGCATCAGTGCTGGAGGTTCCTCAGGTGTGGCTGTGTGCTGTGGGGCTCTGGGTGAGACGAGCAGTGATGTTAAACACTGATGTTCTGATCACTACCAATTTGAGTTGGATATTCCCTGGGCAGCACAGACAGTCACCGTGGGACTCTCCTGCCATGAGCGTTTCTTCTGCGTTAAGTCTTCTGGCCAATACGGTCTACCTCCTTGAGGTTCCAATGAGGGACAACAACAGACTACAAATCAGATGTGGTGCTATTTGATTTCAAGCTAACAGATACTTTCGCCCAGAGCAGACATGCATTCTGGCCGTGCAGCAGCTCCGGGAGGTCTCCTGAGACCCCCAAGCTCCATGCAGGAGCTGCTCCGCTCTGTAAGAGCTTCCATCCTTTCTTGCTTCCGTTACCAGAAAACGTGCTTTGGATTTTAAGAGTAAGAATTTTTCAGCAACTGTTTCCCTAATTTGCTAACTTATTTTATAGTCACTAAATTGTAACAAGAATACTAGTTTTACAAGTTATAAATCTTTCTGAATAGAGAGAAAATGTTTTCTCTCATTAAAAAGGTAGTTCATAAGCACTTTCTGCTTGATTTCAACTTTTTTCGTAAAAATAACAAAGTATAATAACTTTTCTTTTGAAGGAAGGCTGCAGTAACAACCAAGTACCACAGCACTCACACCCTCCTACAACCAGGGGCTAGGCTCTAATCCCAGTGGAACGAGAATCTGCAGGAAACTGGTGTGGAAAACATTGCTTTAATTGGTTTCTACACAACATACAGCCATCTGCTCTGACTCAACCCCTTGTATCCTCCAAAAGGGTGTGAACCCAGTGCTTGTTTCTGGTGTCATATTGTGACAGAAATTAAGAGAATTCTACAGCAGGGATTGGTATTTAGCGAAGCTTAGATTCAGAGATCAAACTTTTCATTCACACAAAGTCTACCCAGGGCTGAGGCTCTCTGTGACAGAGCACTTGCCTAGCTTGTGTGAGGTCCTGGATTCAATCCCCACCACCGTAGAAAAAGTAATAGTTTGCTAGGAAAAAAAAGTCAGTGACTTCACCTGCTTTTTAAAAATATGCCAGCTTTGGTGAGGATAAGCAAAATAGACAGCATAATGTCACATGTGTTTTTCACAGCAGAGTTCAACTGTTCAGGCATAGGCAAGGAGGCAGGAGGCAGGGTCCGCCTGCCGCTCCATTTAACCAGCACAGTACAAAAGGGGGAAGAAGGGAGGGTGACCTGAGGGCTTTTTACAAGGAAATACAAACTTTTCAAAGGCCTCAGAAGCAATTCACAAGCTCATGAGGCAGTCACTTGACTGCAAGAGCAGGACTGCTTTGGACCTGTAAGTAAATGAGGGAGCAGGGGCCAAGTTAGGTGAGCTTTAAAAATAGTATTAGTTTCAAAGACTGACTTCCTTCTACATTCCAGATGGTTATATTTTATTTTTTGGTGCTGGGAATTGAACCCAGGGCCTTACACATGCAAGGCCTGGGTTCTACCACTAAGCTGCATACCCTGCCATTTTTAAAATGTTATTTTGAGATGGGATCTTGTTAAGTTGCCTAAGATGGGCTCGAACTTGTGATCCTCTTGCCTCCACCTCCTGAGTAGCTAGGATTACAGACATGGGCCACTGCACCTGGCTGTAGCTGCTTATATTTTAAGACACACAACTTTGCAATCTTTATTAAAGTTTAGCTGTCACTAATACAACTGTCATCTAGCCAGGCATTGTGGCGCACATCTGTAATCCCAGTACTCGGCAGGCTGAGGCAGAAGGATCATCATGAGTTCAAGGCCAGCCTGGGCTACAAAGTGAGCTCAAAGCCAGCCTCAACTGCATATCGAGATGCTGTCTCAAAAAAAAAAAAAAAAAAAAAAAAAAAAAAAAACAAGAACCTGTCATCTTTAACAACTTATGCTCACAAATCCTACTTCCCTGGTAAGCCATAAAGAAACACAACTCTGTCACTTACCAGCTCTAACACCTTCATGAAAGTCATGATGACCCTGCAAGCAGATCAAGATCAAACAGGGTGATTCTGGGCATGTGTTCCCGGTGAGCCCCTCCTCCACCGAGACCCGCGCCCCCACCGTCCCGTTCCGTCCGCTCCAGCCCCTCCCCTCCTCTCCCCCTCCTCTACAGCGTCCCGGCAAAATCCCCACCACGGACCTCTGCTTGTGCCAGAGCAGCTTTACCTTGCTGTAGAAAAATCATACAACTGTGAGCAGCTGTATTTAAAATTCATGGCCACAAATCTTACAAGGCAGAGAAGCACATTTGAGGCCTACTGTGAGTCCCAGTGTCTCAAAGTGAGGACCCTGGCCCTCTGCTGAGTCGCTTAACTTCTAACCTCCTCAAGTTGACACGAAGAATCAACCATTACACTCAGCTAAAGACTTAACCTCGTTCCTCGGTTAAACAAAAAGAAACATCCTCACGTCCTCACCGCTGAAACGCCTGCAGGGAGCCGCCTGCCCGGGCACAGCGCCCAGCCTCGGTGAGCTCTGGGCGCACACATCCGGCCCCCCACAGGGCGACCGGAAGAACCTGTCCCTTTCTCCTCACAGCGCCCCTGCTGGACGCTCCTCCACTTCCGCTTTTTCGGGTCTGCACTCAGCAGTCAGCCCGCTCTTCTCCAAGGAATCCCATCCACCCTTCAATGCCATTGCTTCACTCTGCGTCCTCCTTCCTGGCTTCATCGTTTTTCTCTTCAACATTTATACTGATACAGTACAGATTTTATGTATTTATCTTATTTGCATTTTATTTCTCCACTATGAAGTAAGCAGTTCCAGGGAAGGGATTTGTCGGTTTTGTTTACCCACAATAAACCTTGGTAACGCATGCTAACTACCCTTGTTGAGATAATAAAAAAAAAATCCCTGGTGTTTTTAAAGGGTTAAGGTCCTTCAGCCTTAAATCTTTAACCCGCATCTCTGAGCTCCAACTCCTGATGCATCTGCTCCCTCAGCCCCATGGCATCCTCCCAGTCTCCTTCCTGCCCCCCTCCTCTCCAGCATCACCCCCTCAGTGGCCCTAGGCCACCACTGTCTCCTACCTGGTCACTGCAGTCAATCCCTCTGGTTCCTCTATCCAGTCCTGAACCCTTTCAACCCTCTCTTACACAGCAATGATTACCTTCTCAGGACAAATGGGATAAAACCGAATGAAAACCCGATCACCCCCTGCTTTAAAACCACGAGGTCACTCAGCATTCTATTTCTCACCTTCAGGTCCCCGATGAGGCGACATCTCAGTGATGTCCCCCCAGTCTACTTATTTCAGCTGGGTTTTCCTTTGCTTCCCGCACTCCATCCTGTCCCTGTGTCGTCCTCTTCCATAACCAAGCCTGTGTGTGTGTGTGTCTTTGAGCACTTACATAAGTTCCAGTTACCATATTTTGGTTAGCTGTTCTTATCATCTCAGTAAACTAAGCTGCATACAACAAAGGACTGTGCCTATGTTCGGCGCCCCGACCCTAACACCTCGGACGATGCCTGGCTCCGAGCTACCGCAGCTGTGGAGGGAGGGAGGAGCACTGGGAGTACCACGAAGGTGGACACCAGCCAAAGAACATCTGGTTCCAAGCACCTTGTTTCTGCCATTCAGCAGCTGCGGGCTACTCCTCTCTGCTACACTTTTTGCATCTGTCAAAGGGGATGACTGTCCCAGCCTTCCAGAGACAGAGTCTGGTTTCATGGGAGAAATGTAGGTAAGATGCTGGGCGCATACCTGCACATAACAAGCATTTACTCCACTGCAGCTGCCACTGATGTCCTCCAAGGAGGACGAGAGTTGTATTGCCAATTAGATGAGCTACCTTCAATATCTCAATAACTATTTCAAGACACGGAAGTCATTTAGGGATGTCTGCTTTCTGGTTATTAGGCCAAATACTCCCTTTTGACCAAGTGTTGATGAATCTAAATAATATAACTTCTTCAGGGTTCTCTGAACATAAGAAATGATTCTGCCTTTAAAAATTTAAAATGGAAACAAAAGAAACCAAGCCGCTGGAATTCTTCACGACATGAATGCATTCCTGTGATTGCTAATTATACTATGATGGTACTTCCAATGTTATACAAGACATGGACAGACTAATAACTTCCCCTTGTGCATTATACATCTCTGCCTGTTTTTAAGTCATAGTTCTGACTTTACCAATACAGGAATTTGGATCTAGAGTGTTTATGCTTCTTGCCCCAGGTCACAGAAACCACGCTTGAAGAATGGTTACTTTCTATTCTGAATTCCACATGAGGTTAGAGACCTTCTTAGGCGTACATGCAAATGTAATTGCTATTTCCTGAAGGTTTAACAGCAATCTGGGTAGGAGTATTTCAGCACACCTAAAGTTAACTGGCATGTTTGTTTTCATTTACATTCTGTCTTTTACATGGTCTACAATGAACATACATTATTTTCCTAAGTACAAAGTGACAATACTTTTTAATCAGAATCCTTACCACACACATCTGACTCAGCCGATATTCCATGGTGAATACTTCCTGCAAGCTCTTTGAAGCCCCCTCGGTGAGTTGCCTTAGTGTGATCTTTAAGGATGTTGGAGACATTTTATTAATCACCTTTGGGGGAAAAATACTAGTTATAGCTCAACAGCTCCATTATTTATAATAAACTAACTGAATTTCTATGTAAGTCATTAAAATATAGCCCTTAGAATTTCCATGATATGCCAAAATCTCATGAAAGAGATTGTAGCCTAATCCTGACAAAGCACCAAAAAAAATTTTTTCTAGTCTGTTACAAATAAATTCTGTACCTACAAATTTATACATCTACATTTGGAGTCTGCCTAGCATAAACGATCATCCCAATGAGCTAAGCACTTAAGTATACACACCATAAGCCACTAATACCCCAGAGGAACTTCATCTTCATCTAAGGTAAGGCAGTGAAGGAGTAGATCTGCACAGTCTCATCAGGAAAGAAGGAACATTCACAACTGAGAGCTGGGCTGCGGTCAGGGCTCAGCAGTACCTGCCGGGCACATTCGAGCCCTGGCCTCAATCCCCAGTACTAAAAAGCACTCCGTACAACTTAGCAGCAAAAGTTCCCCTGAAAATCCAATTTGGAAATGGGGAGAAGACTTGAATTGGTATTTCTCCAAAGAAGATACACAAATAGCTAACAAATACATTAAAAGATGATCAAAATCAATAATTATTAGGAAAATGCAGGTCAAAACTATACTGAGCTATTCCCTTGTCACCATTAGGACAGCTCCTATCAAGAAAACACAAAACAACAGGTGTGATGCCGATCTGAAGAGACTGGGACCCTCATGCTCTTGGGGGAACAAAGAGCAGCTACAGCAGAGACACTACAGTGACCCCCTGGAAAATGAAAAGCAGGATTACCACACCATCCGGCAATTCCACTACGGGGGTGAGGAGACCCACAAGTCTGCAGAGAGACATGCTCAAATTGTCATCAAAAATCCATTGACACACCTTTGAACAAGCCACTAACCACTCGTGTTAACCTCAGAGTTACTTAGGTTTTTGGTGCGCCTGTAGCTCACATAATTGAAGGGACCCTGTAACTGAGCTCCGTCAAGGAAGGCTGAGTTTTCTGACCACTCATCATGTTCTTCCTGGCAGATACTAATATTTTGGAGCCACGTTCATTCACTAGAGCTGTGGAAATACTTTGGGAGCTCACTACAGAGCACCGGGACTCCTCAGAGGCTTCCCAGCCTTAAGACCTCAGCACACTCTGGGGAGACGAGCCATGCATCCATCATTACCTGCAACTGTTCCAAGGCAAACGGTGAACCATCTTGCTGTAAGTTTTCAATAATCTCCTCCACAGTATTGGCTGAAAAGCACCTACAAAGCAGCAAACACTTGATTTCACCAATGTGCAACTAACTTCCTATTTCTAAAATGTGAACGGGTCTGCACACAGGTTACCCCAGCCCCATTTCAATAAGGAAGAAGTTTCCAATTTATTTTACAGAGTAATGAAATAGAACATACTTCCCTGGGTAAGGATGTTTGTAGTCTATAATTAGTGAAAAATAAGTCCTAAATCTTTTCTTTCTCTTTCTTACATGGATGGTGCTAATATATAAATAAATATCTCAACTATGCGAAAACATGCTTCTAAAATGAAGAGAAGGAGGTATCACTTTCTAATACTTTCTTCCTCTTCTTTCCTTAGGCTGCTGTCAGTTTAAGTCACTGCAGACATTCACCTTTAAATAATTTAATCATTACTTTCTAGCCCCTCTTCCCACTTTAAAAAAAGAGACATTTTGCATTAAAAGAATTAGTACGGAAGGTTGCCAAGTATAGCTTATTTTAAAGTTAAGTGAAAATAAAAGCACTACGCTACCTGAACTCAGAATTTGATGCATAACCGAGCACAACGTAAGTATAATTTCAGTAAATTCAACTTAATATAGTCTTTCCAAAGGAACAGATATAATTGAGATCTCCTTTAAAGTACCTGTTTATTTTGTCCATATGTTCCTCAAGTATAAAAGGTTTGTCTTGATCGATCTTGGACTGTTTGAAAAGAAATAAAGTAACTCAAATCTTTTTAAAACTCATAAAATGTCACATTTAATGATATACTTTGTGATAGATTTTCACTTTCACTCAAATTACATCTAACGGTGTCATAAATAACCATCACCATATGCTCAAGATTGAGACAGTACGTAGTACTCCAGCTCTTAAGCACCAAAGGCAAAACGTGTTCTTGTATTTTTATTTATGCCGCTATGAGCTTGCAGGGGCTCTGAGAGCTCACCCTGCCAAATTCCCACCCAGCCTAGAAGTTCCCATCACCCTCCCGGTATCCGGCAGCTCCGAGCTGCAGCCAGGGACGGCGCCTGGCAACCGGGTCACAGCCCTCGCTGTCCGGCCCCTCGTGTTTGTGCTTCTACTTCATCTCTTTCCCCTTAATCATCCGGCACACGGCACAGCTCTGCGCACTGTCCCACTCCAGGCGCTTCCTGTGACCACGTCCCGGTCACCGAGGTAATTCGGGAAGTAAGGACTGCACACGGCAGCTACGGTTGGGGCTGGATCACACCCAAGCCCTATTCATTTCCCTAATTTATTTTTCTTAGTTTTAAGTCAATTTGATCAAAATGCGGTCAAGATTCTCATCCAAATCACTGAGAAAAATAAGTCCAAAATGACCTCCCTTGACCACGTCTTACACATGGAGCAGAACTCTTTGGGAAGCCACTTCAGCCCCAAGCACCACAACAGGGGTAAGGTCAGTGCGCGGACAGCCCCGGACGGAGCCCCCTCCGTCTACTTCCTGCTCATCGCACTGAGGGTTCAAGAGGCCCCGGCCACGCACTGCAGTTCTTCAATTCTGGGTAATTTTTTGTGCTATTTCTCTAAATATTCCTTTACCTCATCTTCTCTGTAGTGAATTCTTAACAGTTAGGTACACTTGGTTCATGAACTCAATTCTTTTCATTTTTCTAGTCGAAAACCAAAGTGGATGAGAACCGAATCTAATTTCCCCATTGTTAGGTTCAACACTGAACCTAACCACTGAATTTGACTCGGTTCTCATCCCATTCAGTTTGTGACTGGAACCGAGGAAAGAATTTAATTTCTGGATTGGACCTCCACACTGCATCTTATTATCTTTTTTTCCCCTTCTCTTAAGCGTCTCTCTTCAATTGTCAATTTTAATCCATCTGTTGTGGGGTTTTCCCATGTTTGCTGCCGTATCTTAAATTTCCTGTTCTTCTCATTATAACATGTTGTTCCTTAGGTGATGGATCTTCTCTCTCTGCAGAGAACAGTTACAAGTTTGTGGAGGTGCTTTCTTTTCAGTTTCCTCTTCTCCTTGCACTGTCTGCTATCATTTCTCGCCTTATTTGTTTTGCCCCAGCAACACTTGTCTTTCTGTGAAGGATAGGAAGGCTTCTGTGTAACATCAGCGCGTAGGACTATCAATACACGGCGCGTCTAAGACCGTCACTCAAGTACCGACGTGTAATTACGGCACTAGGACTGTCAGCATCTACGGGGTTTCTTTCTTATTCTTCCCTTGTTTTGACCTGGGCATCAGGTGGCCCACGGGCTCTGCAAGCCAAGTGTCCAAGGGCTGCAGGTCGTCCCTTTGGGTGCACACGCCCTCTCTCCACTGTAGCACCTCACCAACCTGCCCTGACCTGTCCGCTTGGGAAGTCAGTTTCTGCTCTGCTGCTAGGCTAGGAGAAGATGGCCACTCTTGGTTGGATAGGATGAGGACTTTTGAAACTCTAACTGCTGCTTATAAAAACTTGTAAGAAATCCTATTTTTCTGCCCTAACCCACTTCCCAGTCTTTCTCCTTTTTCTTGGCAGTGCTGGGGATCAGAGTCGGGGCTTGTCCGTGCTAGGCCAACACTCCATCTCCGTCGCTGACTCACTCCCCAGCCCTGCACGCCTGTCTTCAGAGACGCCTGGCTCCTTCCGAAAGGTCTAGAGCAGGAGCCGTGCGCTTCTTGCCCACTGCCCTCCCTGAGGAACGATTTTGGCATCTCGGGGCTGTGAGCTACCCTCAACCTTCTGCTTCTCCTCTCTAGCTTCCAAAATACTGACATTTCACGTCTGCCACTGTCTCCTCCTCTATTCTGTTTGACTTGGTGGATTTATGCCTTGTTTTATTCCCCTATTAAATTTTAGTGGTGTTTCAGGAAGAAGCATGAATTCATCATCACGATATGCAACTAGATTTTGTGCAGTGTTTTTAGAGTCTTGGCTTTTATAGGAAAATTTCAGCTAGATAACGTAAGTAAGGAATGAAACGTGCTCTGTATTTTACTATTACAGATACGGACACCTTTCACTCAGCAGCTCTACAGCTAGTGCCAGCACTGCACCCTGCAACAGAGATGCCATGCTGCACGGTGACAGCCTTGGCAAGGCCCAAGCACAGCCCCTGCGCTGGAGCCCAATAGGGTTATTTTGTCTTGTCGCTGCTATTTGCCAACAGCTCACTCCTTCCCCAGGCGTAAAACCCTGAGGCAGAACACGGCGGGATTACCTCTGCGTGGTAGGTTCCCAGGACTTCAGCAATGTTTTCTTTGGAAGGAGACTTCAAGGCTAACAAATCTTCCTCTAACATGGGCAACTAAAGAGAGGGAGAAAGGAAAACATTAGAAACTCCACAGAAACACAGAAAGCTACCGAATAATCTTATTCTTTTCTAGAATCCTTGTCTCAGAATGCTGATGCTGTCTCTCCAGCTGAGCCCCGAGAGAAATGTGCCGAGTACAGGGCACACCCTGGCCTGCATGGCCAGTGCTGCCTCAGTTAGAACGGACAGTGACGGAGGGAACTAAGGAGCACCCCGCATCCACGTCCAGAACACTTCTGGCCCCAACCATCTCAGATAAAAGATACTGACCCTATGTCGCAAGGAAAGGTCTGATTCATAAATATTGATTTACAGTGCTAACTTGGTGCATGACACTTTTGTTTGTGAACAATTTTGGTTTTTTCACAAACAAAAGCATTCGGTGTAGGGCCTCGCTGGTCTCTCGATGTACCCCGGGGAGGACCGGTGGCAGGAATGAGGAAAAGATAGACAAGAGACAGAGCTGAGGTCAGGTGGAGGCCTCTTTACCGGGTGGGCAAGAGGACTGAACCACAACAGTAGGGGCGTTTACTTACACCTTTGCAAAGTTAGTGTCATGAGACGCAAGGTTGCTAGCAAGCAATGACTGAACTGTCCAGGCAGGATGCTTTTCTCAAGACTGAGTAGCGTGACTGCTTGAGGCGCTCTGGCTCTGTCCCGCACTCACACATATGAACAGCTTCCAGCTCCAGCTGCTCCCAACAATTTGGCAAAACTTTGTTTCTGTTTGCAAACTCTACAGCAGATGACAAACAGGACCACCGCCATCTTTTCCAAAACCACGGAACGAACTAAGTTCGTGAACCGAGGTACCATCACCAGTGCACGTTAATTTTAAGTAAGCTCGCCACACATAGCTAGAGGCCACTGTAGTCCCCATATAGCTGTGTACTAACAGCCCGACCCCCTCCACCTGAACCCCATGGTCCGTCCTACAGCCAAGGGGACGTCCTGCTGGCTCCCTGTCCCCGTGGTGCATCTATTCAGCCTGGAGTGCCTTTTCCTGACAACACGCGCCTTAATGCCAGCCAAACTGCACCCTTGAGAAAAAAGATTTAGTCCTTTCTTACAGGAAGCTCTTCCTCCTTTCAGCGCTGAGGACTATCTTTGCACAGATCCTGTTCCTACACTTATCACACTGTACTCTGCCAGATGAGACAGATGGTGGTTGTCTTAGTTACTTTTCTCTCATTGCTGAGACAAAATACCCAACACCCAAGGTTAAAGGAGGGAAGGTTTATTTAGCTCACAGTTTGTGGAGGTTTCAGTCCATAATTGGTTGGCTCTAAGGCAGGGTGGCACATGGCAGAGGGACAACCGTCCACTGAAGCAGAAGATACCAAAAACAGGAGCGAAAGGGGCAAACAAGCCTTTCTTCCCCTTTTACCTTATCCAGACTGCTGGGGTTAGGGCGGCGCCAATCCAGTCAGTGGACTGATCCAGCAGTCATTCACCCGGCCTTCATCCCGGCATTAAACCATGAACCAATCACACACTCTACACGCAGCTACCTCTGAAAAAGCCCCTCTAAAAGTGCAGGGAGCTTTGGGGGACATCTAGGCACAAACTGTAACAGTGATTTACCCTCTGGGCCCACCTCTAATCCATCCTCAATGCGTACTACTCATTTTTATGTCTGCTAGAGGCCCTGTGAAGGGCGGTTTGTCTGCTGTAGATACTTTCTCCTCCCCTTATCTAAATTCCACTGTGATCACGGGTGGCCCTGCCTGATGGACAGTGGAGAGTCACGCTGGCCTCCCGGTTCAGCACAAGGCAAGGAGGAGACAGCTGCCTACTCCGTGTGTCTGAGGATGCCCACAACATGAGACAGACCTGAAACTTCAACTGGTGACACTGACAGGAACAACCTTCAGTCTCCCACACTTCATATAATTTTCAGCATCCGTAACAGTGTGAGGAACAAGACCAAGGTTAACTGACATAAACTTTCACAGCTATTTTATAACCTTCGAAGAGAATTCTATTAGCAGCTTATCAATACATCTTTATGTTATCCATCTGTTTTACTTTGATGGTTGGTAGGCCAGAGAGGATTCATGAGATTAAAGAATTATAATTTGTTAACAATCCTTAGGGATTTTTATAATAGTCCAAAGGTCCAGTGACCCAAAGAGAAGCATGTTAGGAGCAGACACATGGATACAGTAGTCCATCCTGTGTAATGTAAGTGATTCAAAGAAAAATCTGGTCGCTTCTTTAAAAAAAAAAGCATAACACACTATGTCCTAAATTTAAGAATATTAAGTAAAAATCTGCACATTACTGTATGAAAGTTACTGGACTGAGCATGTAGCATAATTTTTCTATTTAATTTTTGTAACGGCTCTTCCCTTTGCCTGAAACAGCCTCCTCTCAAGATGAGCTACCCTTTGAAGATCACGTGCTTCCTGGGGAGGGGACAGCACTAAGAACGGAGCACACCACCCAGCGCAGACTGGTCAGCTGGTGTATCCGCCTGCCCATGTGGCTCAGGAGCGAAGAGCCAAGTTAGTCACAGTAAGCTGTGCCAGCCAAAGCAGAATCAACCCTAGGTCTCCTGCTGAAAATCCTGGGGAGAAAAACCATCTCAAAATTCCTTGTGTTATATATAACACAAGGAATTTCCACTATTATGATAATATTGTGATCCTCATCTTGCAGCTGGGAAAACTGAGAGGCTAAATTCAAGCTAGAATCATTTATTTACTTACTTACTTACTTACTTACAAACTCAGGACCTTGGACTTGCCAGGCAGGAACTGTGCCATTGAACTATATCACTGGACCTTCAAGCTATTTGTAAACTCTGCCACTGTGCTATGCTTTACTAAGAAAACTGGCCATACTGTAAAGGAGAGGGAGGGAAAGGGGGAGGGAAGGGGGGAGAGGGGGAGGGGGAGACAGACAAGCAAGTGAGCAAGCAAGTGAGCTCGGCATGGTGGGTATGGTGGTGCATGCCTATATCCCCAGCATCTGAGAGGCTGAAGCAGGAGGACTGCCCTCAGTTCAAGGCCAGTCTGAACTGCATAGTAACACCCCATCTCAAAAAGCAACAACAAAAAAAGATAAAGATAAGTAACATGTATCCTTGTAGCAGATATGGTTTAGAAAAGTCCTATGACCATCTTTTACAAATGCAGTTATTATAAATTACCCACAACGAAACTCACAACCAAGAGACTCTTTTAAAAATGTGTTTACAAAAAGGCAATCTTTTTACATATTAATTTCAATTTTATATATTAGAATTTGTTAAGGCAGGTATTACTTTTTTTAATAGACTCTATTCATTACAAATATTCATTGAAGGTAGGAGGTAAAACGGCCCGAAACCAGTTATCATTACCTCTATTTTACTTGAGGAAACTGAGAATCCGGAAGCTTATGCACTATTCCCCAGGTCACACAACTCGACATATGCAACAGGTCAGGGTTCGCACTGTGTCTACCAAAAACTTGTGATCTTGACCACTCCCACTGCCTCCACACACAGTTACCTTTCCAGAATCTACGAAGTGCGTAGCAATTCCTGCTCTGTGTACATCTCTTCCTTTTAGTCTGAATCCTGTCAGTCCAAGGAAGTAGCCCAGTCTTCCTTGAAGTCTTGGCAAGAAATAACCTCCACCCACATCAGGGAATAGTCCTGTAATTAAACACACAGAAGGCTGTAACAACAACTCAAAGAAAAGATGACTCTGACCGCTTCACAATGGGTCACATGACCACATCTCTGTAGGGTTTCATGTATCTTATCATTGTTACTAAGCTAAGTACAATGCAATCAATGTCACAAAAAAACTTGCTGTAATTGTGCTAACTTAACTTTTCACAATCTTCATGTGTCATTTCTACGGAAGTCAGCAAAATGATGGCCCAATGTGTTATATATATATAATATATATTTTTAAATATATTTTTTATACTTATGTATTAGTCAGTGATGCTAGCTAAATTTTCTTGCCACTAATTTACCTTAGGAATCTCTGACATAGATAAAAATTGACAAAATATTTTCTTTCCAAATTACAAACATAGCAAAACATAGATCCTACGTAATCTAAGGGTAATTATGGAAACATTCATTCATACCATTTAAACTATCTCTCAAGCTTAATCATCTATTGTTTTAGGAAATTAAAGATCGGACCACTAGTTCTATTCAATGATTTGTACTTACTCTTTTCTTAACCATTAGTATTTTCAAAATTCTTCCCCTACTGGCAGCAACTGAAAATAGCATACATATGAGTGTATAATTGCCAAGTGCCAGTGTATAATTTTTTGTTTTTTACAGCACCCTTGACAATTGTGACCCTGTTTTATAATCCACATAGCTATTCTAAGGGTGTCTGATTTAATTAAGTCGTGATAAAAACATATGCCTTCAAATTATTTCCAGTTCTGCTTGACAAAAAGTTCCTAGGTTCAAAGGAATACGAATGCTCTCAGTAGATCAAACAGCTAGGTCTGAAGCCAACCTCCTGACCTCCCCCTGTTCCATGTCACCTACCCACAAAAGGAACAACGACCTACCCAACACCCTCACTGGTGCTGTTCCTTTAGCCCCCATGGTCACTACGCCGGACTAATTCTCCTCAGCTCCTTCCACAGCTGCCTGCTTCTTTCGGATTACAACCATCACCTTTACCCAAGTCTTCCAGGCCCTTCACCAGCCCTTGAATGACGTCTCCTACTAGCCACTCACCGAACTCCAGCCGCTCTGGTCTTCCCTGCCCAACGTTCTCCTCCCTCCCACCTCAGAGTCTCTCTGGTGACTCTCCCACCCACCCACCACCAGCCTTTGCCACCACTGCTTCCTTCCGGTCTCCCTCGCAGCTCCATCTCATTCGCTTGGCCTCTGAGCACTGCAGAGCCTGGGCTTGCTCTTAGACTAACTCCCCTTTCCCCCTGCACACATTTCCCTCAGCTCCCATGGCTGTCAGTAGTATCTCTGTGTGATTACTCGCTGTTACGGACTGAATGGTATCATTCCAAAATCCGTATGCTGAGGCCCTCACCTACAATGAGACTGTATTTGGAGACAGGTGATTAAGGCTAAGTGAGGCTACACGGGAGGGGCCCAAATGCAAGGCCGCCAGTGTCCCTGTATGAAGAGACATCAGGGATGCATGCACACAGAGAAAGGCCATGTGAGGACACAGCGAGAAAGTGGACATGGGACAGGCCTCCGGGGGACCAGCCCTGCTGACACACTGACCTGGGGGTTTCAGCCTTCAGAGCTGTGAAAAGTAAGTGTCTGTTGGTTAAGCCACTCAGTCCAGAGTATTTTGCTGTGGCAGCCCTAGTGCCTGTCAGACTCCCAAATCCAGTTACAGCTTTTCCCTTGAATCCCCAACTTTAGATCTGCCTTCTAGACACAACCACCGGATAAGGAGCATCTCCCAAAGAACACGGCAAAACCACAATTATTGATTCATCCCTCCAACTGCACAGCTCCTTCCCTGGCAGCTTTGTCCATGCAGGAGCACAAGCTGAGCATCTCGGACTTACCCTCAATTCACCGCACCAGCAAGGGTTACGGCCCAAACACTCCAAATCTACTCCTTCTATTTAATTCTGTATGCCCGCATCAGTCCATGCCCAAACGCGCTCTCTCTAGACCAGTACTCTCTAGAATGGACTGTGAGGGTAGAAATGAATCCTCCCACATTGTTGGTGGGAATGCAAATTAGTATAACTATTATGGAAATCAGTATGGAGATTTCTCAAAGGATTGGAATTAGAGATTGCACACTGATTTTTTTTTTTTTTCCGGTACCAGGAATTGAACTCACGACGTTGTGCTTGCCAGGCAGGTGCTGTGCTGCTGAGCTAAATCCCCAGCCCCTAGAGATTGCACATGACTCATATTCCCCTTTTAGGTATCTCCCTCAAAGAGCTTAAGACATCATACTACAGTGATACATGCATACCAGTGTTCACAGTAACACATTTCAGTAATAGCAGAATCATGGAAGCAGTCTGTATACTCATCAACAGATGACTGGATAAGGAAAATGTGGTATCTATATATGCTAGAATACTACTCCGCTATGAAGAAGGAGCAATTTGGGACATTTGTAGGAAAAGGGATGCATCCGGAAAACAGGCTGAGTGAAGTAAACCAGAGGCACAGTTTCAACACCACATGGCATCTCTCGTTTGAGTGAGGCGAAGTACAAACAAAGAGATTAATAGAGGATGGACAGCCAGATTGAAGAAGACAAGGGGATGCCCACCTTGCAAATGGGAAGGGGTTCAAGAGACCAAGGGCAAGGGGGAGGGGAGCGGAAGGGGAAATAAGTAGAATAAAGCTATGCCATGTACAGGAACCTAATAACCTCAATGAATGTAAACAGGATATGCCATAGACATGAGCTAGATTAATAATATCAATAAAAATGAGAATGGGGAGAGGGGAATTAGAGGAAGGAGGAAGGGAGAGGGACAGGAGGGGAAAGGGATCTAAAAACAGGAAGCAAGTTGTATTATGTACCTGCCCCAAGATGACTGTAAAATGCATGTGCTGGAAACAAGTACTAATAAAAAATCTGTAATGTTATAGAAAAACTGGTGCTGGAATGACTGTATTTCCACATATAGATTAATAAACGTTATGTATGACTCATGTCATACATGAAAATTCTAAATGGATTATAGATCTAAATGCAAAAAATATCCATCTAAAATTAACTACAGTGTATTACTGTCCCCAGTTAAATATTCTTGCTTTTGTGTTTTGACAGTATTACTGAACTAATGTAAACTTTTTGGTGTCTTCTTGTTTTTAAAAGTCTTTTCATTGTTGTATGTCATACAAGAGTCCACTGACTTCTTCGATAACAGTACAACCTGAAATGTATTAAAGAAAGATGGTTCTAAAAGTATGAAGAATTTCTGGGTTTTTACCTATTCTTGTTTCTGGCATTGCAAAAAGAGACTTTTCAGTAGCCACTCGGAATTGTCCATGAACTGAGACACCAACTCCCTAAGGAAATGAGGAAAACAGTTTGGTTTTAAAATACTGTAAAAATTAAAAGCATAAACATATACATATTACAAAGCCATTAAATAATCTTTACACTCCATGGGAATTTGTTTCAGGGTATAGGCAGGAAAGAAACCCTCATGCATACAGTTTCAGATGACACATAAGCAAATCCCTGATATTCAAAATTGATTTAACCAAGAGGTTTCTATCAGTATTCTGAGCTAGGCTTCAGGGTCCCATTCCCAGTTCCTCTCACTTCAAAGGTGATGCAGCATAGAATACTGATTCTTCTGAGAATCACAGAGTGCCGCTTACTACCGGTACCAATAATCAAAAAAGAACAATGCTGCTAGCCTAGCAAACTCTAGTAATTTTGAAAAGAAAATTTAACATACTTTATTTATGTACATATTTTATTAAATTAAATCAGCCATGTCATTTTTCTCAGATACAACATTTAATGGGGCCAATTATAAAGCTCTTAAAAATTGATTACTAAAGCATGAAACTTGTTGGATGTCACTGAAAATGGCAAATACCAGTTGCCTCTGAACACCACACATATTTGAAGTGGGAGTACACGAGATGACAAAGATCCAACTTATGTCAACTGCTATCACTGTCCTATCTTGCTTTTCACAATACTCAGAGATTACCGTTTTAGCTCCTGTCATATTAGTCCTTCTTAACCAGTTTACAGTCTCTGAAACCACAGTGTTACATTAATTAAACAGGTGAAGCATCTGAAAAAATGCCAAGCCCTCAGGAAGAGTTAAGTGGCAGCTAAACAGAAAGGCTTTCATTGCTGATTCTTCTAATTTTTCATGAAAATTTCTTCAACTTTGTCAAAAGTTTTCACATTCAGTTGCTTACAAGTTCTTAAAACTTCATTCATACTTAGAAACATATGCAATTTATTATTAACTTTATGTACTGGGTGCTAAACTTAAAATAGTTCATATCCATAAACTTAGAAATGTGTGATCCTTTGGTCACTACCTACATCCTTTGCTGTCAACATTTACAGATTAACTTCGTAACAGCACACCCACCGTGCACAGGCAAATCTATTTATATTATTGGAACTGCATTAGGGCATTGTCAACTGACGATATTAACACAGATTAGATTGTATATACTTCCAGACTCCAGTGAAATCTTACAATTCTTATAAAAATAAAACACTAGATATATTAGTAGTTTCCTATATTTTATAGTCTCTACTCTTTACTTTTAGTTTATCACACCCTAACTGAAAATGTATAACTGTTCAGAAATGTGTTGCAAGAACTTTAAAAGAAAGGGTGCCGCTGAGTGAGTTTGTCCTGGGCGTGGATGCAGCAGAGCTGCCTCACGCACAGATTGCAGGCCTGCTCCCAGGCCTCGACAGGCGACCGTGCCTCAGCGCTATGGTCACGCCCCTCCTCTTTCAGTTAACTCTGAATTCCAGAAGCAGCACAGACTGTACCCTTTATTAAACACTTACATATAAAGGTGAAGTCTGCCCACAGCTCTCAACCCTACCTTTGTCATTCTCTCCCCAGAGACATAGCTTTTATCACCTTGGTCAGCAACCCTCAAATTTCCTCTTCTGTATCTCTTATATTTAAATGAATGTGCAAATCTATCTGATATAATTATATAACAATATGCAGTATATGAATATTCTATTACATTAAACTACACTGTACAGGATGGATTTTGATACACACACACACACACACACACACACACACACACACTTTTCTTGCTTTGCTTTTGTTTTCCAAGCTCCACTCCACAGCCTGTAAGGTTCCACATAACCTGGCCCAGCCGCCTCTCACTTCAGCTTCTTGTGCTCATTTCACCAGCCACAGGTTTCATGCTATTCCTCCAAATTGTAAGCTTGTACAATTTCAATGGCTCATGTAATTTTAAAGTAAGGAAGTTGTACAATAGAAGGTCACCACCTGCCAAGTTGTACAACAGAAGGCCACCACCTGCCAATCACTGCCTTTTCTCTAGTGGCATTTGCTCTAGAAGGGACCTCCAAGTGTGGGTGACAATGTACCCAAGGGCAGCCGACTCAGACAAACCAGAATCTGGAGGTACAGGGAGTGAGCAGGAGGGGAATTAGGCAAAGTTCCTACACTTAGCTGTTTAAACTGAAACACAGTGGGCAGGCATTGGTTAGCGACAGGCAATGAAACTCGAAAGTCATTTGAAATGTGAGTTGAAGATGTGGAGCCATGTAAAAGCTGGGAGTAGAACCAAAAGCCTGAGAAGGCTGCAGCTTACACAACACAGAGGAGAAACAAACATGCAGAGAAGCAGAGATGGTCAAAGGGAGAGAAGGAGCGAACACACCACTGAAATACTCCAAAAGCCCACAGCTGCAGTCCCACTTGCCAGAAGATGAGGCGGGTGGCTCTGTCTTTGGATTCCCACTGGAGCCCTGCACCTGGCTGCCCGCCCTGTTCTCTTTGGTGGATCTGCCTGAGTCTCTGTTCTTTTCAATCAAAAAAGGTTTCTTCATCCAATTTTCAAGTAGAACCAACCTACATCTGTGCTTCAGCTTCACACAACACACGCCACTTTCCTCCTCCGGCTTTCAGCATGTATCTATTGCAGTGCCCTTCTGTGATTGCCCAACACCGCTCTCCCAGACTAGCCATCCCCCACACATCTGCAGGAAGCAGCACGCCCTCCCAAAGTCAGAGACCAACTCCTTGCCCCCGCTGAACTCCACGGAGGAAAGAAGTTAAAGCCCCACATACTCGCATGTAGAAACTATAGATCCTGTATTGCCTAGTTCAGTTCTCTATTTTGTTTTAGCCTCAGCTGATAAAATAATGAATGAAATAAAAGGCCTTGAGATTTTAACAAAAAACTTTCAGGACAAGAGGCCACGGACACAAATATCATCAAGAGCGCCTTGAATAATCTTCCACAAAGATGAAGCTTGGGGGGAATCTTCAAGCCACACCACTTGAAAATCTTGGGACTGTAAATGTGAATCCATGCTGAAGCAGGTGTAGAGCCCTGTGGCAGACTCATAATTTTCCTGTCTTATGTCAAAGGACCGGCCACTTGTAATCCCCTTAACACGTACAAAATTTAATCTGATGGCATCTTTCTATTCCATTTCATGTGCACTTTGGCCTGTCTACGTTCATTCCCTAGGTGATCTCCAGCCCAGGACTTCAAGTACTATCTATACCATTAATAATTTAAATTATTCTCCCATCCCTAATCTCTCTAGAGTCAGCTGTCTATTAAACATCTCTGACTTTCCCCTAGTTTTCTGAAGGTGCGCAAGTAATAAAGGAATTCCCTGACCCACCTCTCCTGACAGCACCCCACTAGATCCTCCCGTGAAAGGCATCCTGGCTCACGGCCAGCAGAAAGGGATGCCACACAAGGCCAAGAAGAATCTAAACAAAAGGTCTTGCCGAGCTCGCTCCAGTTTACTGTCGCAGAGTCGTACCCTTTACCCAATCACACTTTGACCCAGCCGCCATTCTGCACTGGAGCTGAGCATAAAGTCTCCTGGGGGTCCTCAGGCATTCACCCAGAAGCTTCGCATGTCATGTCACACAGATCTGCTACGCTTCTCTTCTCTGTCCTAGGGCTGTCAGCCACGACCCTTGTGAGGTGTGAAAGTGTTACTTTTTCTCCTTGTACTATTTTCCAGGCTCGGTTCAATTCCCCCTGCTCTCCACGCAGCTACTTTTCTGCCGTGAAGATCCATTCTGGCCCCTCGCTTCCTCAGAGGCTTCTGCCATAGTCAGGGCTATGCCATTTTCCACTTGCACTGAAATTTATGTCTTCTCTAACTCCCTATCAAGTTCTTCAGGACCTGTTACATTTTAGAATTATTTATAGTAGCACAGAGGTAAATATTTGTTGACCAACAAGAATGCCGCTTTAGAGATTTTTTTTTTTTTTTCTGCTTTGGAGATTTTATAAAGATTACAGGCACTTCCACTAAGTGGATATAATGCAGGCAACCAGTTTCATTATTGAGTCTAAGAAAAAGCCTAAATATTCCAGGTGCTCTTCTGAAGCTGTTCAAAGCAAGCAGTTAATTTGTAAATAGAAAAAAGTCTAACAAGTAATAAAAAAACACTGGAAACGATACAGAGCTGCACCTTCTTTGATTGATCAAACTTGCATTCTTGTATCTGGTGGAGTGAGCAACTTCGTTGAAGATGACAGTATGTAATGTAGCAACCACTGTTAGTTCCTATCATTTTGTTTTGAGGTGTTTTATTGTTTTTGTCTTCAGTGTTGTTGTTTTGTTAGTTTTTTTGTCTTTAAAATAAAAAAAAAGCCTATATAAACAAAAAATGTACTCAGTCTCTATTGCTTAGGAAAGTTTGCTAATTTCAAAGTTAAAATAGTATGTAACATAAGAATACACAACGTTCTTTTGAGCTGAGACAGTTTAAAAGCGCTAGAAGAAAATACATCACAAATCCAGCAGGACAAAAAAATCCAGTCCAAGCACGATTCTGCTTCAATGAGCTCTACTGTATTACATTCATCATCTCACCTCATTTAATAATTATTAACTCATTCTTACTACAGTTCATTCCTGTCCATGAAGCAAGTGAAAAGTTTACTTACCCCACCCATTGTAATGCCATCAATAAGTGCAACATAAGGTTTCTGGCAAGAAGCTAAAAGAAACAGAATGGCAATTATAGTTGCAATGTTTAAAATATATTCACTGTTTCTAAAACTCACATTATATGAACTACATTTCCTAGGAAACTTTTGTAAGAAATATCAAAGAGAACCATTATATGACTTATAAAATACTTTAGTTTTTAAATACCAATCTATAAACAATATTAATTATTCATTATTGTTTAATAATTCAACCTTAAATTTAACACAAATCTAAATCTTGTATAACTCTAGGGATATATAATTAACCTATGCCTCCAATGTTTATGTACACAGTTATATTTTAAAGAACATATTTAGTTTCTCTACAATGAAGTATCTGGATGCATACAGCAAAATATAGCATATAATACTAAAAAAAAAAAAAAAAAAAACATGGTCTGGGAGTTAGAAGAGCCAGCTTTATCATTACATTAATTGGCAGTTCAATCAGACACTAAATGATAAGTATACACAGAGAAGTTATTTTTGATATATATGCGTATCAGAAAAAGTCTTATCTCATATATATCAATAAGTTTCATCTATAGAATGAGATTTAATATATGCCCTCAGATATCCTTAAAGTTTAACAGTTCTGTTACGCACTTTTACTGTCTTTCCCTTTTACTGTCTTTTTACTGTTTACTTTTACGTCCTTTCCTTGTTTTGTTTTTCCTCTGAGAGGGACAACTGGTTAGAACACAAAAATATAAATCATTGTAATTCTATCATAGCTCATTGCCAGTGTTAACCTCCCTACAAAGGTCAGTATAAAACTGCGTAGTTTTGGTCCACTGAGCTATTCTGAAAGTATTCCCAACTAGCCAACGAGCCACCAAAGCTCAACTTGAATTTCACATTCACAAGGACTTCTACTGCCCTCAGTTTTGACCTGCAGTTCCCTAGAAACTATGGAAAGAAATTATTGGTTGGGGTAGAGATACAGATACACACAGACCCCACTTCAACAACAGATACACACATTTCAGATATAAATTATTAGACACTAACTGATGCAGGACACAAAGCCAGAATCTGTCCAATGTCTTGTTATGTCATTACAACATACACAAATTATACCCCAAAGACTCTGTATGTTAACATCGCACCAAATTCTCTTGTCAAACTGCTTAGAGGTTTTCTCTCTTCTAACCTTTATTAATACAAACCTGCACAAAAATAGCAGCCACTGATCATGTATAACCATTTCGATATTAACTACAATTAAATAAAATCTAAAGCTCAGTCTCTTGGTCATAATTGCCACATTTTCATATGTTCAACAGCTGCATGTGGCCACTGGCTCCCTAGACAGCATACATACAGAATATTTTCATCAGTGCAGGAAGTCCTGCTGGACAGTGCTGGTATAGAGAATATGAATAAAACAAATTATAAGCAAGTTTGATAGGTAGAATTTTGGATTTAAAGAACTGACAGATATTCATTCAATTTGGTTCACTGGGCTAATGTAGGAAAATAGTCCTCTATTCCTCTCCTCCTCCAAAACCATACGAATTATAGAAAAACTAATTCTAAATTTATATACAATTTCAAAGTCAACCGAGAGAATCTCCAGATGCCAGAAACACATAAGAAACTCAAAGTCAATAGCTGAGTGGAAGCTACAGTCAAAGATTACGAACTACACAATCAGGTAACTGCATAAAGATTCAAGTTAGGAGGAACTATTGCATTTGTAAAACAAGACTAGAAAAACTCCATCCACTGATACAGGAACTCAGTAAGGAGGCCAGTGCTCTACCCAAGAGAGGGACAGTCTGAGGGAGGGGATGTTCAAGCACGAGATAAACACCACCATTAAAACTGAAGCAAAGAAAATAAGGCTAGAATAAAAGAAATGCCCTTAACTTCATATAAGGAGATTGATACAAATCTTTATAAGGAGATTTATACCTAATTTTAAATTTTAAAAGCCTTTCTGATTGATGCGCATTCAATCTTATAATTGAGGTTCTAGCTAAACTATAATAAGAAAACTCATAAATATAGGGTTGGAAAGATATGGAAAAATTACATGGAGATGATAGAATTCCCTTTGTCAAAAAGCTGAAAAACCCCACAGAAATACCATTAGAATTAACAACAAGTTTCAGTAAGGTTGCTGGATATAATATATTAAAATAAAAAGCATTTGTATATGATAGAAATAATCACTTTAGAAAATAGGAAAATAGCCACTAAATGCACTAACAAAAACTACAAGCTACCCAAGAATAAATCTATAAAAAGAAAATTTTAAAGTGATCTTCATCAAGAAAACTTACAAGACATTATCAAAGGACACAAAAGTCAACTGGATGAAAATGTCCTAAACTGACACAGTAATGGCTGCACAACTTGGCAACTTCACTGAAATTCACTGATGTCCAGAAAAATGAATGAAGAGATAAAGCAATCAAGGAGGAAAGACTCAATATCAAAGATGTCAGTTTGCCCTAAATTAAATCCACAATTCACTGTCTCATCAAAATCTTCATAGGATCTTTTGTGGAATCATACGAAATGATTCTTAAATTTATATGCAAGGTTATAAAAATCCAAGAGTAGACATGACAAAAGATGAAGTAAAAAGTCATATTTTTGGCAAAGAATTTAAAAACAAAGCCATCTTAAATTGAAAATACTGTAAGCTGAGAATGCATCCTAGAACATATAAAGAACTGAAAAAACTCAGGCCCTCACATTCAAAGACCCAACTCCAAAATAGGCATCTGAGATGAACACACACTGCTCAGATGAGGAAATACAAACAACAAACAAATACATGAAAAAATATTCAACATCATTGATCATTCGAGAGATGTAAATTAAAACAACACTGAGATTCCATCTCAGTCCAGGAACAATGGCTATCATCAAGAAATCAACCAGGTCAGAAATATAGCTCAGTGGCACAGTGCCTGCCTGGTAAGCATGAGGTTGTGAGTTTGATTCCTGGTACTAAAATAAAAAAAATCAACCAGTAACAAATGCTGGGGGCCTGTGAGGAAAAAAGAAGTCTTCTCCACTGTTGCTGGGAGTACAGACTGGTGCAGTCACTGTGGAAATCAGTAAGGAGACTCCTCAAAAAGCTAGGACTACAGGCCCCATTCGACCCAGCTATTCCTCTGGAGGGCATCTTTCCAGATAAATCATACCACAGTGGTATACATGCATCCACATTTATAGCAGCACAATTTGTAATAGCTAAATCTTAAAAGCAACCCAAATGCCCACCAACCAAGGAATGGATAAAAAAGATGCGATTTTTTTTTTTTATATATAATGGAGAACTACTCAGCCTTTGAGAAGGATAGATTGGAGACTTTTATAGGTAAATGGATGCAACTCGAGACCATCCTCATAAGTGAAATAAATCTGACTCACATGTCTAGACATCGTATTGTCTCCTGGTGTGAGAGGATGAACAAGTAATTAAGATCCAAAATGTACAAAAGATATTGTGAAACTGGAAGAAACTGCTCAAAAGGAAAGAGAAACTAGGGTGGGGAAAAGGAGAAAAGAAGGAAGGGAAAAGGAGAAAAGAAGGAAGGGAAAAGGAAAAATATATATATATACACAGGATAGTTAAGACAGTTATACAGTTAGTTTCTCTTAGTTCACTGAAAAGACAGGTTTGTGGTAGTATTGTCTGGACCATATTTCATGTTACATCTTGTACTCGGAGCAACTACAATAAAATAACAACTCGCAGTGTACTAATTATTGTTACTCTCCTATTAACCTGTTTTGAAACTCTTATTTTTATTTCTATGTTTTCTCTTAAAAAAAAAAAAAGAATGCCTCAGTACACCTAACCTCCCACCATCATAGCCTGGCCACACAGCACACCGCAGCACCACTGGTGACCCCGCGACCTCGCAGCTCTCTGGGAGCTGCAGGCTGCTGCTGCGGAGCATCGGACGTGCGACGAACTGCACTTCACCTGCTCACAAAAGACCAAAATCCCAAAGCTGAAGGGCAGTTTCTACGGAACGTGCGGTGCCTCCACACCACCATAAGTCTGGGAGCATCAGTATTTTGTAAGATGATATTCACGTATTTTTCAAAATACAGTGTAAGACTCTTGTTACAGAAGCATGTAATAAAAATATAAAATACAGTCTAAGAGGATACCATACAAATTAATGCAATGGTTGCTTTTGGTGAGAGAAAGTAAGGGAACAAAGGAAAAAAAAAAATCACAGAATGTGTGAATCATAGTTTAGAAACTGGTAGTATTATATTTCCTTTGAATTTTACAACATCAGGCAAAAGCAAAATACTGAATATCTCTTTGCCTGGACTGATGGGTACACTGTATTTGCGTTTTTCCCCATAATTTAACTTTCAAAAAACAATTGATAAAATACAGCCTTGCTTCCACTGAAACCTAAAACCTTACCATAAAGAAATGTTCACCCCAGAGTTCCTCAAAAATTAAGAAATGATACTTTATTTTACATAGGAATTGGGAACATAATTTTTCTGTTAACCAAGAAAGCTAACTATCTGATCAGGAATCTGTACTCTCATTGATTTTATGAGAAATATCAGGGATAGCCTAACAATATTAAAGTATAATTGCCCTGGAATAAGCAGCCAGAGAGGTCTAATCAGCTTTATTTATGCCAAACACATAAATAAGAATGCCCATTGGAGCCCAGCATAGTAGCACATATTTGTAATCCCAGCATTCTGGGAGGCTGAGGCAGGAGGATCACAAGTTTGAGTCCAGAGTGGGCAACTTAGTGATTTAGCAAAACCTTACTCCTTACCTCTTTCAAAAAAAAGTCTGGATATGTAGCTTAGGCCATGGATTCAATCCCCAGTATGACATGTGTACACACACACACACACACACACACACGCGCGCGCGCGCGCGCACACACACACACCTATTGGTTATATCTTCAATCATATTGGATGCGGTCCACCCCATCTCGATTCCATTTTTCAAGCTCTCAGAGCACACATACCGATGGCATTGTTCAGCGTATATTCTTCTCTGAAGAAAACTCGGATCAGCTCCTGTTTTGCCTTTGCCGCTTCTGAGATTGCTATGGAAGGAAGGAAAGGAACAATTATAATCAAAAAGGTATTTTCTAGGCAAGATGGCCAAATGAATTAGAAGCACTATAACAATTAAATACTATAGGGAGGAAGGATTCTAAAATTGTTTGGTAAAGATTTGAAGTTACCCATGCCTCACACATACTAAGAGATCCACAGCTGAATGTCCAAGCTTCAAAACAAAACCCCTTATTCTGTTTACGGAGCTATTATGCTTTTGTTTGCTTGGCTGATTTTATTTTCATCCACAGCTCTTGGCTGTCACTAGAACTTCTCTTCTTCAAAGCAGGCCACATACTACCATCTTCCCTGCTCTCCTGGCCTGGAGCTGGTCACGCAGCCATTTTCTGACTCATCCTGTCTGAGAGCAGATGACGGGATCCTCATCTGAGGAGTCTTGCCCCAGACCGAGGAGGACAGGTCTGCAGAGAGCGAGCAGCCGCTGAACAGACAGGCCACCCTGCGCCTCCCTGCTCGGCCCACTGGGCCCTTCTGGCGCACTGCACTTCTGCACACTTCCACCACGCTCTGCAATGAACCCCACACGGAAACCCAAAAGGAGCCGAGCACACGGCGCTTTGCAAGTGGGCACACAGCTCCATGCTTTTCCCCCACACCCTGCCACACGCATCTCCTCAGCTGTGTCCTTCGCAGTAAAGCACTAAACGGAAGTGCTCTCCCGAGTCCCGTGAGCCGGTCCCGCAAATTAACTGAATCTGAGGAGTGGGTTATGGGAATCAGCGTGAAACCCAGTGGGTCAGAAGCACTAGCCACACAACCTGGGGCTTGCAACTGGCATCTAAGGTGGGTGTGGGGGCAGCACATAGACAGTGCCTCCTCTGGGTCACAAAGAGCTGGAAAGCAAGTGGGAAAACGAAGGAAAACACACGAGCACGTAACACCCGGAAAACAGCAGGTTACTCACCATGACCACACTGCCAGGTCATGTGATTAGGAGAACTTAAGATCATCTGCTCTAAAACACAAAGTGGACCCTTACACCGTAACGGGACATTTTGTTTAGGATGAGCCGCAGGGAAATATCTAAATTTCAGAAGTATACATGTGTAGTAGAGAAAAAGAATCCCTATTCTCATTTTCTAATTAAAACCTAAGTTTTTCTAACTTTTTAAGAATTAACTTATAACAAGAAATTCCAAAAAATAAAGCAAATTATAATTACCTTAAAAATCTGCCAACACTTTATCAGTTCTAGTGGAAGAAAAACATTTACGTGGGACAGGCGAATAGTTTACCTATGACATCACCCCCAGCACAGAAGGCCTTCTCTCCAGCTCCCTTTATAATGATCAGGTAAGTTTCAGGATCTTGTTCCCACTTCTATCAAAATATAAAAGGAGATGGTATAAGCATATTGTAAATACAGACTCAGTGAAGACATATCCCTATGCACAAATACACACACATTCGTGTACATCCTCGTGGTACCTGTCTACCTCTTAGAAAGCATACATGGAAGGAAGGATTCCATCCCTTCCAATCATGGAAAGAAGTTCATTTTCTTTTCTGAGATCAAGTAGAGACTAGTCTAACAATGCTGCTAGGTGAGCATATTCTATAATCCCAATTTCACGATGACATCTGAAATATCCGCCACAACTCTGGGACCAAGATGAATAAGTAGTAGTTTACTCATACTATGTTACACACACTTCTAAATCTGGTGAACAAATCAACCCAAAGGAGTGCTGATTCATAGAGCAGTAACCTTTCTCCTGTGATATAGGGCTCTATTCTACTGAAAAATTTGTAAGCACCAGAATGAAACCACTATGACACTGATTAAATAAGCAAAGGATCTGGGATTGGTAAGGACAGTTAGTGTAGGTGGAAAGAGGGGCGGACTGCTCAAAGGAGCAGTGTTCACTTTCTTAGCTTGGGTGAGGCTCTGGGGGCGATCTCCAACACCACCAAAACACCAGGAAGAATGAAAAGATGAGTGAAAGAAGAACCAAAAGCCAATGAAATCCAAAGGACTGGAACAATGGTCCAAATGAAAAATTAGAAAAATTAACAGGGCTTCTATAAAATCTGTACTTAGAGAATAAAAACATAAATACATAAAGAAATGTAGCCAGAAAGGTGACTTTCAAAAGAATAAGGCAATACTGAATAACAGTAACAAAAATGTTACTCTAACATCAGAGTTTCTACTTTCTTCTACTCTAGTCTAACTCTAATCTGCAACAGTGGACTTACTGCTATGTGCCATGATTTAGGACCGAACTAAATGAGTCCTGAACAGAGAGGAAGAGACTCGTCAAGAATGGAGAAGCAGAAGTCAGAAGGACTAGTATTCATGCAGTAACTACACAGTGTGCTGCGTTCGGCTTCCAAATACTACTTGATCTTTATAACCATTCTAACGAAAGGTCGTCGTCCTCATTCACAGCTGAGGAAAGGGAGGCAGGAAGAGATTCACTCTTCCAAACTTGCCGTGTTTAAGGATGACTACACAGCAAACCACGGGCCCGTGTGAGACCCAAAGTTCTATTACAACAGACTTCGTTCATCAGAAAGGATCCACACAGATGCCTTGAGACAATGACCCACCTTTAGCTGCGGATAAATCTGCCGCACCATCTGAAGGGTGAGCGTGTTGAGGAGCTTGGGTCTGTTCAGGGTGATCACGCCCGCACAGCCTCTCTTTTCCAACAGCACGTCTCCGGCTGCCTCAGTGTACCTCGACGCCTGCTGCGGAGACAGAGGGAAGTCACGCTCTTGTCACAGCTCCACAGCAGAACACACACACCAAATGCTCAGTTTTCACGTTAGTAACTGCAGGAATAGAGACACGTACCTCGGACGGAGGTTTCTAAAGTTAAACTCTGGAGATGGACCAATTCCAAAGTGAACCATACACTTCCTCAATTTTTAATTTTCTATTTCTAAGTGAACTGAATCAACCGATTTAGAATACAGCCTAGTGCTAGAATTCCCTAGCCTAGGAAATATTCTTAAACCTTTAATTTATTACTGTATTTCAGGCTCTACATTAGGTGCTAAGAAAGTTAAGATGACTAAAAGAGGGCAAATAATTCTAACTAGGCAAACTAGGGCAAATAATAATAGCTAGGGACAACTTGAAAACGCAGAAGTACCTGGGCTAGGTTTTAATACACAAAATGAAAAGGGAGGTGATGAATGTAGGTGGAAGACACAACACACGAAGAGCCACTGGTGATGAATATCTGGAAATATTCTTCCCACTGGAAAGAACATCTGGAATGAATATCTGGAAATATGTCTTCCCACTCGGAAATGTTCACAGAGTCCCCATTAAGTTTAAGAATATTTAAGTTACTGGACCTGGGCTTCTGTTCTCTCTGCAGTCTGATTAAATGGAAGAAATGAGCTTTTCCACAGCAGTTAAAATGCTGCTTAGGAGCTCAAAATGCATTGCAAGGAGGCCTAACTGAGCTTCTCTGTGAGCACAAAGGAGAAAACATCAATCCGGGCGTACACTACAGATAACAGGAGGCAGATGACTCTTCCTCTGCCCTCACTGCTTGTTCCGGTGTCTGAGGAAATAAAAGCGAGGGGAGCCAAAGGCTCAGGCCTCCTTGTCAGAGAGAGGCAAGAGCCCCCGCTCCTCTTTTTAAACTAATTCTACAGCTCTATGTTTCTCATCCTCTTTTGGGTAAAAGGCTACATATTAGTACGTTAATACAATGTGTAACGATTGGGTTGGGTAACTGGCATATTTCTCACCTCAGATAGACCACATTTGTGTGTATTGGGAATAGTCAAAATCAGGTCAGCTGTTTGAAATAACTAATTTTTTATTTTAAAGAGGGAAAAAAACAATAGAACATCTCCTGGCTTCATCACCAAATGTGTTCTCACCCGCCGTGTCTCTCCCCTGCACCTCGTACCAGGTAAAAGTACCCCAACTTTCTCAGTCAACCAAGCTCAAAATGTCGGTATTATCTTTGATTCTTCTTTGTTCTCTACTCAAATAGAGAACTCAAAAGTTCTCTACTTTGATTCTACTTTGTTCTCTACTTTGCCTCTCTACTTGAGGCAGTTACTAAGTACCACAGAATCCCTCTCTTAGAAGACTTCTCGATAGTTATTTTCCATCCCCATTGCTTTATCCCCACACTGGTACGACTGTACCTCTTGGGCACACACACCTGTGGAACCCTTGCCCAACAGCCCATCCTTCTGAGAGCCATCAAGGAAATACTGCAGAGCACAGTTCTGACGTCCTCCCACTCGGAAATGTTCACAGAGTCCCCGTTAAGTTAAAGAATATTTAAGTTACTGGACATGGGCTTCTGCTCCCTCTGCAGTCTGATTAATATGGAAGAAATGAGCTTCCACATTAAGTTAAAATGCTGCTTAGGAGCTCAAAATGCATTGCAGAGGGGAGAAAAAGAGCTTCCCACAAATACTGTTGTAGTACCATTGTGCCCAAATCAACCCGGTGATCCATACTGCTTTAGACACGGTAGAACGGGAGGACACGGCAGTCCAGGTCAGTGGGGACAGGTGACACAGGCCAGAAGGTGATCTGAGGCACGGAAGACAAACGGGACTCTCCTGAGGTCCCGAGCGCTGGGCGCTCTGGGTTTGCTTTGACAGGTGCTTGAGGGACGACGAGACCCCACTCGCAGGATCCGCTGGCTTACTGGCTACAGGGCTTGACAAGCTCCTGCAGAAGTGCAGAACCCTCCCCTCCCTCAGGGTTCTAGTCCCGACTCCGTGTACTGGAAGGTTCAGCAGGAATGAGACACTATTCTCACAAATTAGTCCCGTCTCATAAGCTCACCTGTAATCCTGCCACCGTCACTCTGCTATGACACAAACAGGATGCAGGAATCTCCACACTGGTCCTCTCCCAGGGGCCACTTGGGGTGGGTCTATCCCCGAAGCACCTGCCCGAGCAGGCCAGGAACCAATGGGCCCTGGGGACCTCAGAGAGTCCAGCTGCCTTCCCTCGCTCAGAGGGCCTTCTGCCCCGTGTCATCACACGTGATCTGGATTGCTGTGTCTTCCCATTCCACCAGGTCTACAGTTATAGGAACCCCCAAAACTCTTCCAAGTGCTTTTGCTTGGAGGCTCCTCAGCCTGCGAGTGTATCAGCTGACTAAAACAGCCGGGCCACAAAGGGACGCCTGGTCTCACACCCACCTCCACTTCGCATACCTGAGGCACCTTTCAACAGTCAGTGGCTCCTGTCAGAGGCTGGAGCAGGCGGCAGGTAAATGACTGAGCCCAGACTGTCTGGTTCTCTCCTGCTGCACGCGTACCAGCTGCGTGACACTTGGGCGGGAATGTTACTTAGTCTCTCTGTCCTCAACTTCTGACCCATAAACTGGGGATGAGCCCACAACACACTACATATTACTTACCTCAAAACTACCCCAAGGGAAGCCCGGATCAGTACAGTATGGCCGGATGTTTTTATATTTCTGTACCAACCCTTGAATGTTCACATTAAGACCAAAAACAAAAAAGAGCTTCAAGTATGCTCAGATTTTGCCACCAAATGCATTTACCATAAACAAAAGATAACAACAACAAAACACTTTTGGTTTAGAGGTTTTAGAGCTGCAGATAAGATATCTGTAGTATGTATGCCACAAGATGAGGATTAATTGAGCTAACATACACTGAGGACTTAGAATAGCACCTAGTACACAGCTGACTCTTTTGGGAAGGTGGGGAGATGGTACAAGGGATTAAAGCCCAGCCCAGTTTCTACTTTGAGACAGGATGTCACTAAGTCACTAGTCACCCAGCCTGGGCTTGAACTTGTGATCCTCCTGCTCCTGGCTCCCTGGGACTGTAGGTGTGCATGACCACGCTCAGCTAACTTGCTATTTTTATGTGCAAGGTACTCGTCAAGCTCTACAAGGGATATAAAAGAGAATGAAAATTATTTTCTCTTGCAGTCTGATAAGCTAAGGACATTTAAGCTTTGGTTTTTTTTTTGTTTTGTTTTTTTGGGTTTTTTTGGTTTTTTGGGTTTTCTCCGGTACCGGGAACTGAACTCACGACCTTGCGCTTGCCAGGCAGGCGCTTTGCCACTGAGCTAAATCCCCAGCCCCGACATTTAAGCTTTGCATTGTACCATTAGGCCAAAATTACTAACATATAACTAAGTGTATGTCATGCAATATGCTGTATTTTTACATTCATTATCTTCCCCTTTCTAAGCACTATAAAGCAGATAATTTATATGCATCAGGTTAAGTAGTGAGTCCCTTACAGAGCCCTGGGCATTAGGACTTCTCCACACTCTTCACCATCACCTCATGCCCCCCTCTATGAGGTTTGGTGTCTGGGTTCCGCGCCACGGGATGAGAGCAGTGATGGACCAGCGTCACAGAGACCTGCTTCCCGGTGTTTCTCCTTCCCCGACAGCGGCATTTGAAACCACAGTAACGCATTGAAAAGGTCAGCAGAGCGGAGCCCAGACTCACCAAGTGCTGCAGGATGATGCCGGTTCTCTTGAATAAACTAAACCTGAAACAAATGTAGATACAGTGAGCACAGTCATGTGGGTGATTATGTCACAACTTACAGACACTGCATCTCCTTCTGCTTCAGTGTCTTCTAAAAGTTACTCAAAAAAAGAAAGATTTAATGCTCATTCACTGCTGATAGGGACAACAATGAAACAACACAGCTATCTGGAAAGGGTTGCTGTTTCTTACAAAACCCAATATATTCTTGCCACATGATCCGGCAATCCCATTCCTAGACTTCAACAAATTGAAAAGTTACATAAAGAAAACTGCATGTGAATTTTATGTTAGTGTCATTCATAACTGCCAAAGTTTAGGAGTAATGAAGATGCTCCTCAACGGTAACAAACCAACGTTGGTATCTCCGTGTGACGGCCATAAAGAGAAGCACGCCATCATTCTGCAGAAACACACAGAGGAAGCGCCAGTGCGCTAAATAAAAGAACTCAATCAAAAAGACTCCATACTCAGATTGTGGGACTTTCCTTCTGGAAAAAGCAAAAGTAGGAGTCAGCGGAAAGACTGGTAGGAGTAGTGGGGTGGAGGGTATGAATCCGTGTTAGAGACAAACCTGTTCAGTGTAGTAAAGCTAAGCTACATGGCACTGTAATCGTGGGTATGTGGCATTAGAACACTTGCCAAGAGTTTTCTGCTCAAATTTTCAGCTCAATTTTTCTGTGAACTTACAAATGCTCTAACAATATTTAAATGAAGTTTGTAAAGTCAGGTAAGGATGCAATAAAACAGGCATTTCCAGACACTGCTGGGAGATGTAAGCAGTACGGAAATACAGAGCCACGGCCTTGAAATGGGGTGCCTTGTCACAAGCGAATCAGTTTAAAACGCGACCTGGCCACTTGTGATTTTGCCATCAACTCATTCTCCGAGGCTGAGGCCCAGGCACCGCTGAACACGAATGATTAGCTTATATCATGTGTGTACGATCATCACTTTCCTCTCAGTCTTTCAGGTATGTACTGCTGTCAGTCACTCCCTGCTTCCGTGTGCTTGCAAGACGAGAATATCATCAGATACACGAACACGGAAAGGCTTCCAGTTTTCAGAGGGAGAAATCAGCAAGCACTGGGTTGTGGTACCCAAAAGCCACAGTTAGCTAAAAAGGACCATGGCAAAATTCAATTATTTTAATGAGTTGTGTGCAATAACAAATGAAACCCAAATAGCCTAATGCGTTTTCCATCAATAGTTATGTGCAAAGGTGTTGTGTACACTGTTTTACATGCCACTGTATTTATCAGAACTGAAGACTGTGCATATGATTTTAAAACGAAGCTGATGTTTTACTCTCTGAACGAGTACAGCAGTTCTTCGTGAAAGCAATTCTTACAGCTTTGCTTACAACCAGCTAAAAATGCTTCATATGTTATTCTAAACCACTGTCCTTTACATTCTATTGCAGTAACTGCACTGTTTTCTGATTTGTGTTTAGGTCTTGAGACAATAACTTGTTGAACAAAAATAAATCTACACTGAAAAATACATAAAATAAAAATTGAAAAATTCCACAAGTACCTGCCAGGTTTGATTTATAAAGATGTTCATAACAATTATTTGCATGAAGGAGAAGCTGGACAAAGTAAACAGAACACTTGCACGCCTAACTATAAGCAGTTACACAGCCACTGACACTTATTTTGAAGCATTTAAAACTTACTGGAAAGTTTTATAACAAAATGTTCGAATTTATAACAAAATGACAAAAAGAAAGCTATGAAACAAAACATTTCTAATTCTGTTGTTTTTGCTGGGCTAGAAATGCACAGCTTGGCAAAAGCAAGCGGTAATAGCAGCAGTCAGCACAGCGGAGGGTGGAGGAAGTCGGGAAGGGCTCGAGGCAGACGCCCGTCACAGGCCCACGATGCCCGCCCGTCCATGCTCAGGAAACTGTCAGCTTCACAGCAATCACAGAGTCCCCTATGCAAATCCCCATGAAACAAACTAAAACGCACATGGGAAAGGGTAGTCACAGGAAGGGCCCCTGAAGGGTGCTGAGATACTGGTATTATCTTGCTTCCTGATCCAAGTGTCAGGGACCGGGATGTTCGTTTGTGAAAATTCATGAAATTGTATCTTTATGCTTCAGACCGAAGGGGAAATTAAAGTTTTAAATAAAAGCCTGCCAAGAATGCCTGCCGGAACCAGACCTGTCCAGATGCCCAATAACAAGACATGTCTGCCTTTATGTAAACCCTGTCTTTGCTGCGCTTGTGTAACTGATGGCCTTACAAAGTAATTTAAAATGTAACCAGATGTTTCTTGCTTTGTATAACTGATAGCCTTATGATGTAACCTGAAATCCTTAAACCCCCTTAGCAACCCATGAGGTCACCCAATCCTCCAATCATATGCACCACATCTGCCTTTGTCCCGCCCCCATTCACTTTCTCTTTAAAAGCCCTGAGGCCCCTCTGGGCGGCTGGTTCTTTGGGAGAGATCCTAGTCAGAAGCCCACGGGTGAAACACACTGCCTGCTAACCTTCTCGGTGCTGTTCCTTCCGTGTTGGGTCTGTTTTCTACAACAGGACCTTTTTAAAGGTTCACAAAAAGATACAGCTCTTGTCCTTAGGAAACTAACTAGAGTGACAGTGCACATAAAAGCACTGTGGCTAAAAATACACCGGGATGCATGTTTCTTGTTTTAAAAGCTGTACTGAAGACATAGAGAGAAACCACAGCTGCAATCAGTAGCCACAGCAGCCTGATGAGGCCAGTGTGCACCTGCAGATATGCACAGGGTGCGTGAAAAAGGCCAGTCTGTTCATTTCAAGGACTCTGTGACATCACCTGAGAAGCAACAGCCTAGCCACTTAAAAAAAAAGGTGGTATGACCACTATCACCACTTGTAGCCACACTTTAGAGGGCTGAATGTGTAGAAACATTTGTAATTCAGACAGGCACAGTGGTGCTCTCCTGCAATCTGAAGCAGGAGGATCCCAAATTCAAACCCAGTCTGGGCAATTTAATAACTTAGGGACACCTTGTCTCAAAAAATTCTGAAGCTCTGGGCTTCTTTCCCTTCTAGTGCCACCTGGTGGAGCCGAAGAGAGCTCGCACATCTCAGCTACACCTCCCTTCTCAATTCACTTTCCAGGCTTATTCCACCTGGGTGGGTAACAGCAGCCTGGCTTCTCAGCGCTCCACACACCACTGGCCTACCTTGGGGACTTGGAAATGCAAACCATCCGCTAGGCCAAGAGCCCGTGTGGCTGGCCCTGGAAATCCATTTGACAAATTCTCCAGGTGATTATAATGCACATGGAAGTAGAGAAACTTGTCTCAGGAGGATGAGAACTTTACCATTCAGGAATTTTCTGCAATTTCTAACAACGCAAACAGGCTTTAGAAAAAGAAACAGCTGTTCATGAAACTGTTTAAGCAAGAAAATAACATGATGGAAGTTGTGCTTAGAGAGATCATGACACCGGAAGTGAGCAAGGTACAATGTGAATCAGGCAGAAAATCAAGTCCAGGAGATCCATCAGGCACAGCCGAAGGGGGAGACAACAGAATGACCGAGTCATGAAGTGAAGAGCAGAGCAGACACAGACCTCAAGCAAGGACTGCCAGTAATGGGCTCGCAGGTGCCGAAAAGCCTGGAAAGGGACCTAGCTCGTTTGTGGGATGTGGTATGAATTCCATTTTAACTTGAATTCGTACTGACATTAGAGACATTCAACAAGCAGAGAAGAAAGACTGGCTCCTGAAAGCGAAGTCAGAACTGAAAACGCATCAGGAAGCCACGTGAAGACCCAATCACGGCGGCACACACACCTCTCAACGGTGTGCAAGAGGTGAGAGCGAGCAGCTGGAGAGTCCACAAATGTGTTTCGTTGTTTTTAATTTGGGAGGCTGTTATGTTATTTTGTTTGGGGCAAGTACAGTGTTTTAAAACTGCAAAGATTCAAGACAAGTGTGATGGCCCAGGCCTGTAATCTCAGCACTTAGGAGACTGAGGAAGGAGGACTTATCACAAGTTCAAGGCCAATCGGGATTACACATGGAAACCTTGTCTCAAAAAATTAAAAATAGATTTCATCTAAAAATGCAGTCTTTGAGGGGGAAGATGGTATTATTGAAACCCTGAATCTAAATTCTACAATAGCAACAAATTCTAAACTCCTGAGAAGCCTCCTCTGGACTGAGTTGGCCCCATTCCCATTCTGGTCACTACTGTCATCTACCCACTCACTAAATGCTGCTTCCTGGCCTCGCATTTCCTGTCTTCTGCAAGGTGGGCGGGGCGGGGGAGGGAGTATATATACGTGTATATATATGTGTACGTATATATATACACACACACACACATATATATATATATATCATGATGGAGCCTCTAAGAAATAACTAAGCAGAAGTAAAATAGAAAACAGGCAGCCAAAGAACAAGGACCGAAATAACATAGTCAAGCGGAGCATGGAGCAGATGGAAAGAGGAGTGCTATTAGTGCAACAGAAAATGCCCCCACGCCAGCTAGTACACTGCAGTTTCTTAGTTGCCCAGGTAATAGTTCGTGTTGCAGTTCTGGCTGCTCCTGTCTCCTAGAAAGGGCTTGGTCACTGTGGTGCATATTGTGAGAACCTATCAAAGACAGCCAAGTACTCTGCCTCCGTGTTACCCCTTTCAACTCCTTAAAAACCTCCCTGTCTGGGCCTTCAGGGCCTGGCATTTTGGGAAATAAACCTGCTTCCAAATCCTGGGTGTCATTTCAGTGTTTCTGCTTGCCACTGCCTCAGCAACTTAAAGATCAATCTGAAGACTCACCTCCTCTCTCCCTCCAACTGGCTCTCCTGTCTACACTCCGCCTGTAAGACACTACCAGTGCTGATGTTGAAATATCACTTTGGTGGAGCATTGTTTCTTATCTGCTGTGCTGGCAGGCTTCAAGGCCTTCATACCGAACAGCAGGGACATCTAGTAGCCCCGACCCGCTACACGATCACAGAAGTGCCTGGATCAGTGCAGCCCGGCATCTAGAAAAGACTAAGGATTGCTGTGCTTGCAAAGTAACTGAGGCCAAATTCTTGAAATCCGGGCTGGGAAAAGAGCCGGGGCCTACTTCTGAGAGTTTTCCAAAGACGGTAAGCACGGAAGGACAAACTTGGCCAGATTAACGTGGCCCTCGTGGACACGGCCTAGTTAAACTGGGAAGTGGTAAGTCCATCAGTGAAGTTGTGCAAAGCAACCAGTGATAACTTTCAGAATGTTGTATCACTTTGACTCAGCAGGAAGCAACAAGGTTTGGGAGTGTGCAGAGCTTCAATTGAAGAATCTGTAAGAATGACAGGAGCAAGACACAGACCAGGATGAAAGGCTGCACGTGGGTGCAAACGTCCAGGTGAAGCACAGCTGAGCTCAGATGGGGGTAACCGGCACCAGAGGTCAGGGTAAACCAGGCTGGACACACTTCAGAGAAGTCATCTGGGGACAAACACTGTCCGAGTGAACCGACAGGAGGAAAAGATAAACAGTGAAGAGTGAAGCAAGGACCAAGAGGTAGGAGGTACCAGGGAAGCCACAGGAGGCCAGAGTTCAAGTGGACTGGGCACAATAGTGTCAAGCATGGCACTCCTCTCCTAACCCTTCTATTCTTGGGTAGTGGGCAACAGGAGGTCGGAAGAGCGCGGCTTCTGGTCTGTTTTGCTCTGGAAAAGGGCAGATCCAAACCCCCAGCCAGTTCCAGCCTCTCCTGGCCAGTGTGCACCCTGAAATACGGGGTGGAATAAAGCCAGGCTGACAGTTTTTGCGGCTGTTGCTTTTGTTTTCGTTTTGTGGCGCTGGGGATAGAATCCAGGGCCTTTGCATTGAGCTACATTCCCAGCCCTCTTTATTTTGAGACAAGGTCTCACGAAATCCCCCAGACGGGCCCTAAAACTTGTGGTTCTCCTGCCTCAGCCCTGACTGCGGGGATTACACGCATGAGCCACCACACGTACCTACCTTAACTTTAACAAACATGTCTTTCCCGTTGCTTATCAAAAAAATTGGTATTTGCTGAAAACATTATTTTTTAAAAAGCAACAGCAATAACTGTGTGCAGGGATATTCTCCATGAGCTGGTAGAGGCACAGAAGTTAATTTTAAAACATTCAGAAAACAAGAAATGCAACTCTTCAGGGTATAATAAACATCTGAGAATCAGGTCAGCGGATACAATGTTGCACAACTGGCCACTTCCCTCCCTCGGAAACAGTAACTACTGCTAAGGAAACACGCCCACCCTCTGCGTGGAGACCTCTCAAGCAAACTCTAAGGCCTAGGGCGCTTCCAGGGAGTAAGGACGGGTTCCCTTGCGGGAGGCCCAGCTGCCCACTGTACTGGACAGGGGCAGGACCGTCCAGGCCCCGATCGCTGCCCGCTGGCCTCGGGCCGGACCGGGTCGGGTCGGGCCGTGGGCGGCAGGGAAATGCACTGTCACACCGCGAGCGTCTGCACGCCTTCTCGGCCACGCCGCTGTCACGCGTCCACACGGGACTGAAAAGGAGGCACATATGTTTTTTGTTATGGGCTTTTCTGTTTGTTTTTCTGAGACAGGGTCTTGCTTTGTAGCTCAGGCTGTCCTCGAACTCGGAGCAATTCTCCTGCCTCAGCCTCCCGAGCGCTGGGATTTGGACCCCGATAAAGCTAGGCAATCAAGTCACAGCGAAAGCAGGTGCGACGCCGGCACAGCGTCCCCGCCTGTCCCGAAAAGAGGCCGGGCTGTGGAGGGACAGGAGGCTCGGGAGGGAAGCGCTGGGTCCCGGGGGCAGGACGGAGGCCAGGAGTCGCCACCGCCCCCCACGGCCCGCCGCCGCCCGGCCGCCCCGCAGCCCGCTCACCTGGACGCGAGGCCCAGCGCCGCCCGCCGCCCCATCGCGCCAAGGACGCCGTCTGCGCTCAGGGCAGCGGGACGCTCGCGTCGGACCCGCCCACCGCGGGACACAGAGAACAAGTCCTCCGGGCAGCCAGAGCGGCCCGCGCCGGCCTTTCCGCTAAGCGGCGCGGAGGGGTGGAGCGAGAACAAACGCTGGAGGAAATGGAGAAAGGCGCCGGGCCTGGGCGGGGCCAGCATGGGGCGGGGCCATGAGAGGGCGGGGCCACACGGGGCGGGGCCACACGGGGCGGGGCCACAGCAGATGCGTAGAGAGAGTTGACAACGGAAGGAAGACAGCGCGGTTCTTGACTAACCGGAAAGATACTTTGCCCCCTAGAGGTTATTTTGGGAAAAGCTGAACCCATCGCCAGACCTGGCCTACTAATTTGTTTTTTAATTTCTATCTTTATTAGTATATGTTTGCAGTACATAATGATAGATTAGATTCATCGTGGGGAGTTGGTATGTGTACACAACCAATCCGTTTATTTCCTTGAAGCCTGTTAATTTGATCACAGTATGGGTATGCAAACATTTTTGGAATTTTAATACTTTTTTATTAAAAAATATAAATGTAATATTCTTTGAGAATTAAACAGACACTTGGTAACAGGGAGCTAATTAATGTAGTTTACTCTTACCCCAAGGTAGCCAAACTCTTTTCACGTTGTACTTAGGGTACTTCCACTTTTACTGGGAAAAGTTATAAATCCCCATCTTCCTCAAGGACAGACAAGAATATCTGATTAAGAGGTGATAGATATGTCCTCACCAACTAAGCTAAAAATGCCTGTTACCTGCATAATTATGTTCAGAAAGTAGCTTATTCTTAATGGAAACAAAGATTTGTAACTAAACTGGTAGAATCTGCTATGGAGTAGTTCCAGATTCACCCAGATGTCTAGCAGCAAAATTTCATCACCAATAAAGAATTGACATGTTTGTTAGAAATAAGGAATTCGATGAAAAGTTTCAGAGAGCAAGAAGTTAAAGCAGTTTTTGTTGATTTTTGTGGTTCTGGCGATCCAAACCAGGGCCTCTCATATGCTAGGCAAGTACTGTACACCCCCCAGCCCTATAGGAGTTACTATAGGTTCCTTGGTAGAGATACACTATTAAAACTTTGATCAAAAATTACCTTTGTAACCCAGGCCACATGTAATAAGTAAGTGCCCACTGTGTAGAGGAAAAACAGGACCCGAGACCTGCAGTCGGTCCTGAACCAGCTGCAGTTGTCACCATGCAACCTCTCAGGTGTCATCCGTTGGGCACGGGTGACAGGTCGTGCTATCCAGCATGGTTTCCTGGAAAGGGCACAGGTTTTCCCATCACAGCAGTCTGAGATCGCAGTCTTCCTTGTCTGCCTAGCTTCACTGCATACAACCTGTGTCTCATAAGGTGCCATACTCAGAAGAGCCCTGTGCTTGGTTTTAATGTTCTGCTCTTAATAATTTTGGAACAAGGTACCCACATTTTCATACATATTACATGACGAGTCCTACCCTCAGTTTTAAAATATTTTCATTATTCCATGGAGAAACTCTGTACCTCTGAGCTGTCGTCCTCCATCCCTCCTGCCTCCTGTCCCGCTACACAAAGCCCTAGTCTACTTCCTGTCTCCATATATTTACTTATCTAAACATTCATGTAAGTGGAGTCATATAATGTGTGGTCTTCTGTGACTGACTTCTTTCCAAGACTCATTCATGCTAAAGTGTGAATCAGTACTTCACCGCCTTTCCTTGATGAATAGTACTGCCTTGTGTGGTTATGTAACTTTTGTACCTTTTCATCGGCTGTTGGATATTTGGATTGTTACCACTTCAGGGCTATTATGAATAAGGCTGTGCAACATTCACATAACGCTTTTATGTGGACTCTGTTTTTATTTCCATATACCCAGGAGTGGCAGTGTTGGGTCATATGGTAACTCTATGATTAACCGTTTGCTAGGGTCAGGACTTATTATTATATTTAATTGTATCCTTTAAATAGATGAATTGTATGGTATGTAAATTATATCTGAATTTATAGAAAAAGAATTTTGGTTGCTCCATATCCTCAATATTTTTGTGTTGTCAGGCTTATTAATGTTAGTCATCCTGGTATGTGTGTGTTGCTATCTCACTGTGCTTTTAATTTTCATTTCCCTGGTATCTATGTTGAACACTTTTTCAAAAGTTTATTACCTTTTGTAAAGTACTCATTCAATTTTTTTGTCTCTTTTTAAATTGGGTGTACAGTACTTGCCTAGCATGTGAGAGGCCCTGGTTTGGATCCCCAGGACCACAAAAATCAACAAAAACAAAAGCTCCTTTAACTTCTTGCTCTCTGAAACTCTTCATTGAATTCCTTATTTCTTTATTTTTAAATCTGATTATTGTTTGATATTGTAGTTATCTATTTGTGTTCCAAATTACCCCCGAATTGAGAGATTAAGGCAATGACCACAGATTGCTTCTTAGAGATTCTGAGATTCAGGAATCAGGGGAAGACTGAGTTGTAGGCTCTGGTTGAGGGTCTCTCGTGGGGCTGGGATTAGCTGGAATTTCAGTCATCTGAGTGCCTGCCCCCGACCAGCAGGCAGCACTTCAGACCCCTGTGGTTGTTGGAGGCTTCCAGTCGTTTTCACGAGGACCTTCTCCACAGTGCTGCTCACAGAGTAGCACCTTGCTTTCTCCATGGCAAGGGGCTGGAGAGAGAATCACAAATGCAGAGGCCATTGTATCATTCATAACCCAGTTTTCAGGGTGACAGACCATCACCGCTGCTTGTTGCATTGGCCATACAAGCCAACCCAGAGCAGTATGAAGTGGTAGGACTACTATAAGGCCAGGACCGTTGAGGGTTGTTTGGAGGCTGGCTACCAAGTTTGATTCTTCCTTCTCTCACTGCCAATCAATTATCAAAGCATAGCAGTTAGGTGTTGCCCCCGTCTCTTAACACCCAGATGCTACCATTTTAGTCCACTTTCAGCTCATTCCAGATCTACCTTCCCTCTTGTCCCTCAACCATCAATCACATCCTCCAATTCATTCTGCACTTTACTGACAGCACTTCCTAGGATGCTATATTTTATTTATTGCTCAACTGCTAAATGATCTCTATTATTATAAATATTTATTGCTCAACAGCTATGCAATGCTCTGTTAACACTCAACACAGGAGGCTATTGAGCTATGACACTTTGCTAGTGTACCTGAGGAATTGAATTCCTAAAATTTAAATTTAAAAAGTGAAGTCAGGGCTGGGGATTTAGCTCAGTGGCACAGCACCTGCCTGGCAAGCACAAGGTCGTGAGTTTGATTCCCGGTACCAGAAAAAAAAAAAAAGGTTAAGTCGTGTAAAAAGTTCATATTACATGTTAAGGTGACAATATTTTAGATCTATGAAGTGAGGGAAAATATATTGTTAAAATTAACTTCACCTATTTCATTTCACTGTCATGCATGGCTTATATTACATCTGCATTAGACAGTGGTAGTCTATAGCTTTCAGGTCAAATGGATGGACTGACATCTGAAGAAACAGGAAAAGCTCCATCCACTGTAGAGCTATCCTGTCTTTCTTCCCATTCGCTTGCATCTCTCTCCTGGATGTCTTGAGCACAGAATGTTGATTTTCTGCCTCTATGTTTTAGCTCTTGTATTTCTCATACCACAAACACCACTCCCCTTTTACCATTTTGTAAAATTTTTATCTTGAACACTTCGCGTCAGTCCAGTCTTCCTGCAATGTCTTTAACCGATACTAACTTCTTTCTTGAGTTAGAAATACACTTCTGATCAGTATCATAGTTCATTATTTCTTGCCTAATTGACTGCTGATGCTAATTTTCTCTCTTAAACTATACTTTCTTTGAGGATAGGAACTCGAGCAGACACTGTCCTGAATATTTCAAAAGGCGGTGCTGTGCAGGGTGTGGGGGCATCTACATGACAGCTCAGCCAGGAGAATCACAGTGTGAAGCCAGCCAGGGCATTCTAGGATGTGGTAAGCAGGCTCCCAGATCTGACACAGTGAGGAGCTGATCGTGAAGGAGACTTTGTATATATTTTAATCAAGGTAAACCTGTCAGTAGTGTGGATAAATAAAGTGGCAAAAGTCATCAAAATGTAACTACTGTTTGAATTAAGTATCTACAACATGTCAAAGATGATCCAGAAGCCAATACCGGAGCTGAACAACCAAAAAAATACTCCCTCCTACTTTCCTTCTTTGGGTGTCAATGATTGGCATCCAGTGGGGGTCTCTGGCCAGCTCCCTGCAAAGTTGGATTGAGGATGCTCGACACACCCAGCCCTGCCCCATCCCTCAGCCTCCCCAGCCAATCGAGGGTGGCTGTCAGGGCCAGAAATGAGACGGTCACTCCAACCAGTAGCCCATCCTGAAGGAAGCTTGGAGACCTTCCCCTTTCCTAACTGCAGCCTGCCTGTGCTGTCTTGCTTGGTCTGCCCTACCATGCTTCCATGCTCATGAGAAGGAGGTCCCAAGGCTCAGTCTTTTACTCCTTTCTTTCACACCTTTTGGGATGAGGTAAAAAACCTGATTATTTCCCTTTTGTTCCACAGTTTCCCAAATTTTGCAAAATGGTCTTTTGTGGGAGAAGTGTTTTTGAGCAAGTATTACTTCCCAAGCCATAGGGCAAGTCAGAGATGTCACTGGTCCTTACCTCAGAGCCCTGAGCGTGAGCTCTTGGTGCACCTCTTTGTTGGAGGATGCACAAAATGTGACCACGTGCCCGTAGTCCCAGATGTCTTCAAGCGAGACCTGGGTCATACAACTGGAGGTTAGAAAATAGGGCATTGCTCAACTATTACAGACAGGAAGTGTGGAAAACACCTGATTCTGTGGCTCCAGATGGTGATGTCAATCTCAATATCCCCAAAGAGTAGGGACACGCTCTTTTATATGTCATGAGACAAGTGATATGGGATACTGTGGCACCTGTGACCCAATGGAACTTCCCTACCATTTTCTCTCTTAAACTATAGGCACCCATAAGCAGCCTTTTAAATCCCAAGGCTTTAGCAGTACCTGGGGTTGAGTAATGAAATCTAGAGCTCTCGCTTTCCTATTGCTCAGTACCCCAAACCAATGAAAGCCTTCTGCAGGGTTACTATTCTGCAAATAAGCATCAGAATGGCTGTAAAATTGCTCATGCAT